AAAGCCCAAGTAGCCCTTAGCAAAACGTGAACCCGCAAGTCTACCACCTACCCTAAAAACCGAGAAAGCCATGCGTGGTAACACTTGCAGGCTGTGAGCTGCGGAGGAACACCGCCGACACCCGAGTTTTGCCCCCGCCACTGGCGGCGTGAACCTACAGTGGAGTTTAGGGTTTAGGGTTAGGGTTTATAAGCTGGGCAAGCGCCTGACCTCCTCTTCCAACTGCCCTAATTGCGCTTACTTCGCGGTTTAGTTTAGGGCTTAGGGTTTAGGGTTTAGGGTCTAGAGTTTAGGGTTTAGGGTTTAGGGTTTAAGCGTTTCTATGCTTACAGGAGGCACCGTGCAGCACCTCACTCTCGTGAGGCAAACCTCAACCCAAATGTCACAAGCCCTATAAAGCCCGACATGCCTAAGCCAATTTTCAGTGTCATACACCCTAAACATCCCGACGGCCCATACGACCGATGACCCTCTAACCCCTTGTGAGCCCGACAAGCCCTAAAGCCTACTAAACCCTAAACCCTAAACGAAGGCCCAGCCCGCGAAGCTTCCACAGCGCGTGCGTGGCGAATGACGTCTACGTAGTCTTCGGCCTGGGCCTTTCCAGAGTTAGGAGGGTAGGGGTTTAGGGTTTGGGGTTTGGGGTTTAGGGTTTATGGGGTTTAGGGTGGATACGAGTTACGTAGGGGAATGCCGGATGTAGATGTGGTTCTAAGTGTTGCCACGGAAGCACCAAGAGCAACCCCTAGACCCCAAACCCTAAACCCTGAACCCTAAGCCCTAAACCCTAAGCCCGATCGAGCACATCAATTGCCATGCGGCTGGCGGTCAAGATTTCATGGCAACCTCGCCGTCTGAGGGCCCCCAAAAGAAAAGCGTAAAGAGAAGAGCAAATAGGCAGCATATTAGTATATGGAAATAAACAATTAAGGAAATATAAGTATGTATGTACATATATATATATATTTGGATGTAGACACATATATATATGTACATATATACCAAAGGCATACACTATCCTTGTTTGTTTGGCGTTTGCTGTTTGGCAATGTGGGTGCTGCCATGCCCACAGCCCACTGTTGTCGGGTGGGGCTAAGCTTTTGGGCTTATGGTTTAGCGCCTCATGGTTCTTCGAAAGTTATCTTTGGCTGGCTGAAGGCTGGTTCGGGTTGGGTTGAAAGCTTGTTCGCCCAAGAGTGGTCGAAAATAACTTGTTATTCGACCAATGGGCGGGCGCGAGAACTGCTACATAGCTGCTCTAGGATGCCCAGTAGTACCCTTGTTCCCTTTTTGGGGGGTTTAGGTTCCCTTATAAACCCCTTTAAGCAAAAAAGGGCACCCGTTTTAAGCCTAGGTTACTGGGCAGCCTAGTGCTACATATCTCAATTGAAGAGGGTGTGCTCTGCATAAGGCTTGTTCTTGTGGCTTCGATGACATGAACTCCTTCTGAAGCAAGAGGAGAAGAAACCTAAACCCGAAACCCGAAACCCTAAACCCTAAAGAGAACATTCAGTCGACCTGTGGGATGAATCGTCCTGTCTCTGCCTGTCGCGCATCTTGTCGTTGCTGCTGCGTAAAAGCCCATGTGCGAGAAACCGAAGCTACCTAGATGATGTTCACTTTGGGATGTTCCCCCTTCTACTAGCAGTCCTTAATAGGGATTATGACAGGGTACTCTACAGTCCCTATCAAGGTGCTGTTAGTATAAGGGGGGAACATCCCAAGGTTCACTTGTCAAAGTCAGCCCCCTGTGCTCGTCCATGAAAGCAAGTGCCAAGGTGGCAATGGCGCCGTGGACTACAGCGAGCCTTTGAACGACATTCACCTGCCTGACCCCTACAATTCTCCGGCCGCCACTCGTAGCCCCAACAGGGTTTAGGGTTTAGGGTTTAGGGTTTAGGGTTTAGGGTTTAGGGTTTAGGGTTTAGGGTTTAGGGTCCCCACAAATCCTGCCGCAGTTCGGAGCCCCAACTTGAGCAGGGAGGTTGAAAAGCTCACGGCTAAAGGCGCGAAGTTCTCTAAACCTGAACCCTGAACCCTCCTAACCCCCAATTCAACTACAGCCCAAGAGACCCCAACATAGCCCTGCACACCCACGCCGTCCCCCAGCCACCTGAATCAAAGTCCTCATGGAGCACTTTCACTGACAGATGTGTGAGGGCCAAGGGACTTGCAAGTTGAAGAAGTGATAGAGATCGATGGGGTCCCATACAAATGTCAGAGATTTTGAAGGTCACCACATAAGAGCAACCATGGATCACAAAAAAGCACGTATCAGACCACCCCTACCCACCCGCCCCCCCCCCCACCCGCCCCCATCTGCAGCAACTTGGACGCTTGTGCCATCGACGTGAGGCTTGACCTGCGAAGTAGCTCCTGGACGACACCCCAGGCCATGATAATATTGACTGCCTGAGGTGCAGCTACATGCGCTCGATGGGGAGAATCTGAATCGTGCTTTTTGAGGTTGTGGTATTGTCAAGGGCCAATCATGAAGTGCATGATTCTCGCAAGGAAATACCGGCGATACGTTCGTGGTTATTCGGGCCCTTGCCCATGTTTGTGTACCGACATTCCTGTAGCTCATAGTTTGAGAGCTTACAGAAAGAGTCAAAAGGCTCGGGAAAGGAACAAAATGTGGGAGTCGAGGTTTGCAGTTTTCATGGCTGGAAGATGCGACGTGCCACCCCTAAACCCCTAGTAGCCTCAATATACGGCTCATACTACACCTTAGAAATCTTCAAGAAGGGCCCCCAAATCCCAAGAAGGTTTAGTTGTTTTGGTTTTCAAGCATTTGAGACCTTGTGTTGCCTTCCAAAGGATCCAGCAGCAATCAGGAGCTACAGTCAGAGTTCAGGGCTCAGAAAAAACCCTAAACCCTGAACCCTAAACCCTAAAGCCTAAGCCCTAAACTGTAGTTGTAGGGACCTTTCTGGACTTGGGACGCGTGGGGCGAGGTGTCTGGCGAGGCGCCTACGCCGAGGCTGTGAGAAGTCATGTGAACGTGAGACATGCTTAAATCCGGGAGGTAGGGTTTAGGGTTTAGGGTTTAGGGTTTAGGATTTAGGGTTTAGGGTTTAGGGTTTAGGGTTTGGGGTTTAGGGTTTAGGGTTTAGGGTTTAGGGTGTAGGGTGTAGGGTTTAGGGTTTAGGGTTTAGGGGTTAGGGTTTGGGGTTTAGGGTTTCGGGTCTATATCCCTTTCAGTTTCTGTGTGAAGTGCTGCATGTCAGCTTAACAAAGCAGCGTCACTGTGGTTCTAGGACTCTGGGTGTTCAAGATAGTGGTTCTCGATTGCTGGCTGTCTTTTCGACCGCGAGACCCCAAGCCCCCCACCGTAAGCTCTAGAACTCTGAGCCCCCATGTCCTTTTTTGGAGAGTTGGCTCGGGACCCCAAACGCACAAACCACAGAAAGGTTTGGCCCAAACCTCTAGAAGCCCTCAACGCACCCTAAATTAAACCCCCAATGAGAAAATCCTGAAGCCCCTATTGCACACCCAAAATAGCCCGAAAGCCATAGCGAGGTCAAGGCAGCAAAAGCAAAGCTCTTGAGCCCTATAAACCCTCTAACACCGCAAAAAACCCTATGAAACCCTCTTAGAAACCCTCTAAAACTCTATAACAAACCTATAAAAAAGAAAACATAGAAAAGAAACATAAGAAGAAGAAGAAGAAGAAGAAAAAAGTCATAATAATAGTAATCATAATAATTACAAAAAAATAATAATAATAAAATTAATAATAATAAGTCAGGTTTGGCCACAAGATGATCCACGGCCCAGACAATCAGATTTTCGTTTTTGGCGGCTCCACATCGGCCTCCGGGGCGCCAGTCTGGGGCCCCAAGATTTGCTGTTGAAGGGTTCAGGGTTCAGGGTTCAGGGTTTAGGGTTTAGGGTTTAGGGTTTATAGGGTTTGGGGTCTAGGGTTTAGGGTTTGGGGTTTCGGGGCTCCTCAAGATCTTCAGTTTTTGAATGAGGGATCCAGGGCAGCCGCTGTTCTGTGGTAGCATAGGCTTCAGAGGTAGACCTCAAAGGGGAATCCATGAATCCTAGCCCCTCATCCCGTACCCTTGCCTTCACCTTTCTTTTTGCTCCAGCCCAGGTTCAGCCGGGATCCCTCCACTCATTCCAGCTGGCCACCTCCACATGGGTTACGGTGCAGGTTCTCTCCGCATTCCTCCCTTCCGGAGGGTCAGGCTGTTCGGTTGGGTGCTTATAACCGTTCAGCAGGTCAAGACTAAACCCTAAAACCCGAGACCCGAAACCCTAAACCCTAAACCCGAACCCCTAAACCCTAAACCCCAAACCCCAAACCCCAAACCATAGTTAGAAGTAGGCATTCAGGGGGCCCTGAGTTGGGTCGCTGCAACTTAGGTGAGTCCTCTAACTGTAGTTAAGGGAGGTGAGTCCCTTAACTGTAGTTCAGGAAGTAAGGAAGGTGCCCCCTAAACCTCGAATATTTTGGGATTTATGGTCTTGAGTTGGTATAGGCTGGGGAGGGGGGGGGGGAGATCGGCTGATGGCGGAGTATAGACATTTGGGTTTGAACGACCCCGACATGGAAGGCCTTGAAATTTTGAATCGGGTAGGCGGTCAGCGCATTGTGTAGCCTAGGAGGAGGCAAACTCACAGCTGTAAGTCTGTGTGTGAAAGGTGTGGTAACTGGCCCCCTGTCGTATCAGAGCTTCGAAGCATGGACTCAGTTGATGTTTGCTTGAGGTGCTTGTGCGAGCATGACCTGTTCTTGCAGGGGCGCCCGAAACCCTCTGCCGTCCTGAAGCAGCAACCTCAGCATCCAACAAGAAGCCCTGAGCTCCATCTGTATAAGCTTTGAACTTGGGAGGCTGAGCTGTGCAGCAGCGATGCCGTGCAGTAGAGAGCACGTGAGTCACCAGACACACTATCCAGGAGACTTAAGCAGCGCCTCAATGTCTGAAGGTCATCAAACCATCAAGTCTTGGTACGTCCGAGTCAGATTTGCTTCTGCCAAAATCGCAGCCATGGCTGGCGAAAGCGGTGCGCTGCCCTGGCAGTGCGGCATCTGCACGCGCGGGCCTGTGGTCGCATGCGCACGGCATGGTCAAGAGTCCAGGTTTGGCATTTTGCATCTTTGGAAGCCGAATTACATACGTCAGAGCCCTCATCGGCAGCATCAGGATCTTTGATGAAAAGGGAGTCCCATGCATGTTCCGTCATGATAGCGAATTCATGGGGCCAAAACTAACCCACCGACTGGCGAGGTTGCTGAATCCTCCCGGAGCCGCGAGGCAAGAGGGCCATCCGGGCTGGCAAGGTTAGGCTTGACCTCTAGGGTTTTGGGTAAACGAGTACATTCACCGTATCTGGGGTATCTTTATTTCTGTGCATATATGTATATAAAAATATTGATATTTTAAATTATGGATTTAGGTTTGCAACTGAATGGTTGGTACATCTCCCATTGGCAAAGGCTCTGGGTTACCCCATAGCCCCTAACCCCTTAACCCCCCCTCCAGGTGCAACGCCTGCGACAACCCGCGCGAGACCACTGCGGCACCGGCACCAGTGCCCTTCCGCGCCTGAGAATCCCAGGGTCTAGCGTAACAGGCTTAGAGTTAGGAGTTTAGGCTTTAGGGCTTGGGGTTTAGGGTTTCGGGTTTGGGGTTTGGGGTTTAGCAAAGGCCACCTGTTTTTGTAAACCCTGAGCTATTTCCAGGAGTCTCATACCTTGCACTGAACAACTATTCTCCTCAGGTAAACCCCGGCCCCGATTACCAAGCCCTGCTCCCAAACCTCGGACATCCACAGCCCGACGTCAATAGAGAGAGAGAGAGAGATAAATATATATATATATATATATATAAGGGAGAGAGAGAGAGAGGTTAACATAAAAAGTTACAGAAGTATATATGTATATACTTATATGTTACTTATCTATGTGTTTCAGACACATTTCTTCATCTGAAGGTGCCGGTCTCTCCGCTTTGGTAGGTAGGATCCATCAATGTGTCTATCTCGCTGCGCATCAAGCTCACCATCTATCCATCCTACCAGGAACCGACCCAGGGACCCCAATACCCCTGAATTGAGGAATATTCCTCAAATTAGAACACGGTTCCTTATATGGCTTAAGAAATATTTCTCAATTAAGGGGTATTGGCGTCTGCGGGCACCTTCTTATCTACATAGGTGTTGCTTTTCCAGTCTGTGTACTTTGGGAGGTACTTCGTCTCGACGCCACCCCTCAGCCGGCGCCAGCTGTGAAGGCTCGCAGCTCAACTTTGCCTCTCAGGGATCGTCAGCTCGGGGGGTTGTTTATAGTAGGGTTTTTCAAGGGCTGATGAGGGTTTCTGGGGGTTTCTAGAGTGTGTGGGGTGTATAGGGTCTGTTGGGCTTATAGGTGTTCAAGAGGTTTACGGGGCTTCTAGAGTTGCGGGATTGTAGGGTGTAGGACTTTAAGGGTTTTGGAACTATTGCAATTATCGCTTTGCCTCTGATATTTAGCAGCAGCTGGGTCTTTGGGAAACTTTCTGATTCCGGCTATATCTAGACTGGTCTGTACTCCCGGAGGTCTCTAGGCAATTAGGGTTTGGGTTGAGGCGTTAAGGGTCTCGGGGGGCTTAACGTTTAGGGCTTAGGGCTGAGGGGAGCAGTTCTCCAGCTTTAAGCTCTAATCCCCGAATCTAAACCCCAATGCGACTCTACGTCCTGGAGCTTATGTGTTTTTTTGGTCGGGTGTACTTTGCCCTGTCATTATTACGGGGCCCATAAGCCCCATTAACCCGACTAAATCCCAAGGCCTCTATTTCTAAAGCACTATAGCTAATTAGGCCACATAGACCCTAAGCCCTACAAATCCCAAACCCCCTGAACCCTAAACCCCCAAAGACCCCCAAGCCCTGTACATCTTCAACCCCTAAACCCCAAACCCCAAACCCTGAACGGCCCTAAAGCCTAAACCCAAAACCCTAAATCCCAAACCCTAAACCCTAAACCCCAAACCCTAAACCCTAAACCCTAAACCCTAAACCCTAAACCCTAAACCCTAAACCCTAAACCCTAAACCCTAAACCCTAAACCCTAAACCCTAAACCCTACCGCGAAAGGCTCCGGCCTCGGTGCCCGCCCCGGTCATGAAGCCGTCGGCTGCATCAGCAGGCTACGGGGTTTAGGATTTAGGGTTTAGGGTTTAGGGTTTAGGGTTTAGGATTTAGGGTTTAGGGTTTGGGGGTTTGGGGGTTTAGGGGTTTAGGGTTTAGGGGTTTAGGATTTAGGGTTTTCGGTGGGAGGTTCAGGGTTTAGGGTTTAGGGTTTTCGGGTTTCAGGGCTCGGGTGATGTGGGGCCGAGGGCTCAGGATTTCGGCTTTGGGCCGTGGGGTTTCGGGTCCGAATGGCTCCTTCAACTACTCGGATCTCAGCACTGCATCCTACAGGTCGTGTTCAGCCGACTCCAGAAAGGCAAAACCCCTAAACCTAAACCCATAACAGGGCCCCCAAACCGAAACCCTCTAAGCCCTATGCCCTAAACCCTCAAGCCCCTGACCTGAGAACATGAATCTGAAGTCATGGGAGGAGCAGCGCATGCATGCATGGTCCTTCCTGTGACGTCGTTGTGCTTGCAGGCCTTTCCGTCTCCGAAAGGAAAGCCCGAGAGGCTGCCATGGTTTAGCTTGAGGGTACCAAGATACTGAGGCTAGGCAGGCAGGCGCTTGGCATATCTTTTGTTTCCTTTTGAGGGAGGGGGAGGGGGGATTCCTATCTTTTTCGGAGTATTTTCGGGGGGGGGAGTTGAGATGCTCGGTTCTCTGCTTCCTTCAGTTGTGGCTTCTGTCCTGGGCTAGTCTTACTTTGCCAACAACTAAACTACTTCTTTGCCAGAAATTAAGAATTGAACTTGCTGGGTTTCTTTGGTTGAGCCACACAGTTCAGCTCTTGTTTTGCCCTAGATGTTGGAGAAGTATCTTGTGGCGAGTGGGCCCCCAGGAGGAGATGGCTGCGAAGCGCCAGAAGAAGGACTCGACGTTCGAAGGGGTTGTCGCTGGGCGAAGGGCGTCAGACTCTAATCACAGGACTGGGGGCGGAATTGGTATTGTTGCGAGTCCAGGCCTAGGTACGACTCCTAGTGCTTGTACTCTAGAGGTTATACAAGACCTCCCGTGCTTCCTTGCGTCGACCTGCTTGAGAGCTTCACTGCCGCACCATGCACAGGAAGAGGAGAAACAGCGAATACTGGCGCAAGCGCGGTGCTGAGTTTTTCTCGGTCTTCGTGCCAGCGCTCAGGAGCTCCTCGCAAATCCCCTCAAGTAGCCGCTTTTCCTCCAAGCGTACTTGGAGGTTCATGGTTTTTTATAGCCCATTTATAACTGTACTTATAACACACTTCTGAGCCACTTATGAGCCCTGTAAGTGCCCTAATATGGTTATAGTTGGGTCAAAAGTGCAATATAATTGGGTTCTTAAGTACCATGAACCTCCAAGTATTGCAGCAAAGCGGCACTGGCCTGTCGCCCAGGGTTGGGCATAGAGTGTGGGGTTCGGGGCTTGCGGGTCTTGTTCGTCACCTTGTTCCTACCACCCGCACTTGAGCTTTCAGGCAGAACCTGCCTTTCCCCCCCTCCCCCCGGGACTTTCAGCACCCGTGCACCGAATATCAGGCGGTTCATGGAACAAGGAGCGAGGATGTTATGCCGATGTGATCCCGCTTGCCATTGTTGCAGAGAGAACGCGAGAGCGAGAGAGAGGCAGCGAGGACAAGAGCGAGAGCAGGACAGTCTCGCCTATAGGATGTAGTTCTGGAAGCCCAGTGTCGGCACAAACCCCCAATAGCCCTAAATGCTACATCCTTTACTAACCCTACCTGAGTTACCCTTGCCAATCCCAAGGCATTCGGCTCGGAGCGGATCAGGGTGCACATTCAAAGGCTCTGCCTCCCTTACGCCGAACCGAAAGAAGCTCAGATACCCTAAGCCCTAAGGGTTTAGGGTTTAGGGTTTAGGGTTTAGGGTTCAGGGTTTAGGGAAGCCGAGACCCAAAACCCAAACCCTTAAAACCCACAAAGCCCCTGAGGCTGAAGCAGACCGCCGTGCGAGGATGGAGGCCCCCACGCTCGGGCGCCCAGCTTATGTGGAGTGGGAGGACGTTCACATGGGGCATGATGAGAATCCACTGCTCCCCCACACTTTCCGTGCGAGCTGGTGCTCATGGAAATTCCGAAGCCCCATGAAACGCTAGAAGCCCTATACCCGAAGCCCTACATCCCTAGAAGCCCTACCCTTTAAAACACCCCCTACAGCCCCTAAGCCCAGGCCAGCGCCCGAAGCCCCCGCCCCCTCACAGCCGCGCCCAGCGCCGGCCACGCGTAAAGTGAGGCCGGGGTGCCTGGCAGAGGATCTTGGTGGATCGCTAGGAAGTTTCATAGAGCCCCCAAATCATCCCCGATCGAAACACGGTGTCGAGGATGTCGCAGGTTGTTGAAAACGTTGACAAGGTTTGTCACCTTGCGGGGTTTGGGTGTGTTGTACGGTCTGAGGCCGTGTGGCCATTTAATGTAGATTAAACGGTGTCTGCGTCTCATGAGCCCGGTTGCTTTGGGTCAACAATCAGAACCTGCGTGGGTTTCAGCCCGCGGAAACACCTTTCCTGTCACGACTGCTCCTTCCGTAGTCTTCAGGATGGTATCGTGCAGAGAAAAAAAAAGCTTTTCCCCAGCTCCGAATGGCATCGGAGCTGCTGTTTTTGGACTACCATACGCCTGGAGAAAGCCAAAGAGCAGCAAGCCCTCCCTTGGCTGGAGGCTGCAGATGCTTTGCCCTCAGTGGGGCCGAAACATCGTCTTCACGTGCTTCGAGCGACTCGGCAGGAGCAGCAGCTTGACATTTCGGTTGAGAGTACCAGGAGGCAAAGCAGTGTCCAGGTTGTAGTTGATGTTGTCATGTTCTGTGTTGTGGTGTGTCTGTGCAGTGCTCGACGGCTTTCTAGGAGAACGGAGTTGCAGCAGGCGTGGCAGGTGTTAGTGCCAGTTCAGACGACGAGGCAGCTGCCAGCTGCATGAACTGTTCGACGAGCACACCCGGACACTTGAAATCTCACCCTAAACTCTGAACCCTCACTCCTATAAACTCTATGAACTCTAACAAAGCCCTATAAACCCCAAGAAGAGCCCTATAAACCCCAAGAAGTATGGTAGCAGTGGAATAGGCTATCCATCCTAAATGCCAAAATAACCTGCATAAACCCAAGGTCCAACAACACCCTGGGCGACCTTCGGCGTGCCCTTCGCGAAGTCGTGGCCCCAGAGTCTTTGGCATCTTCGTCGTTGCTTTTTGGGCGGTTTAGGGTTTACCCCCCCCCCCCCGACATTGACGGAGTCCCCGTATGTGTGCGAATGTCTTCCTGGTTACCAAGTACCGTCCCAGCACCACAGCTCCCGAGTCCCGAGGCCACTCAAGACCCTGAACAGCAGGCATGGTATACCCCGACGACTGTGCCGGACACCCCAATCTCCAAGCCCAACACCATCATCCCCCAACTGTTACGCCTGCCCTGAACCTTTAACCCTCCTGCTAGGTTCACGGGAATATGTGAGCAGGGTAAATGTAGCGAAAAGAGGTTCTAAGTTAGTTCTAAACCCTAAACCCTAAACCCTAAACCCTAAGCCCTAAACCCTAAACCCTAAACCCTAAACCCTAAACCCTGAAGTTCAGTTCATTTGCCCTAGACCCGTCTGAGCCCCGAACCCTTGAGCGAGAGAGGGTGAGAGAGAGCCCTTCCCTCAGGACCTCGTCCGAGGTGTGGCGGGCACAGGGGATGGTCGATTGCAGGAGCCGGCTGGCCTTTAATTTTAGGGTTTAGGGTTTAGGGTTTAGAATTCAGGGTTCAGGGTTTAGGGTTCAGGGTTCAGGGTTTAGGGTTCAGAGTTCAGGTTTCCGACCCTAAACCCGCCCTGACCCTCAACCCAAGAGCCCTCAACCTGTTTAGGGATATGTCTAGGGCGTCTCAGCCCTAGACCCTACATACTCTGCCTTCTCCCTAACCCTGAATCCTTTTTTGTTTAGGGTTCTAGGGCCTCTAAACCCTAAACCCTAAACCCTAAACCCTAAACCCTAAACCCTAAACCCTAAACCCTAAACCCTAAACCTGGAAATGGTCCGTGCGCTCCAGGATCCGGAGGCTGCTGAGGCGCAGGTGCCAGAGGCGGGATTCCGGGGCCTCCTGGGGGGGGGGGGGGGGGTCAAACCTGCAGAAATCCCAAACCCTAAACCTTAAAACCTACACCCTAAACACTAAACCCTGAACCCTAAACCCTAAACCCTAGACCTTAAACCCTAAACCCTAAACCCTAAACCCTAACCCTAAACCCTAAATCCGCGGCCCTAAACCCTGTAAACCCTCATTGAGGGTTGGGTGGTTTCTGGATCCTAAGGGAATCAGGGCGATTAGGCGGCTTAGGACTCCGGGATGTTTGGGGTTCAGGGACACCAAAAGCCCTGTAAGCCACATAAACCCGATACAAGCCTCAGCCGGATAGTGCCAACAGCCTACACGGAGCTCTCCAGGCGCAGGTTCTTCGGTGTTGTTCTTCAACATGAGGGACCCTTCTTCAAGTAGCTTAGGGAGTTACAAGCGCACCATGCGCTTTGTAGAGAGTAAGCTAGATGCAATGCAGGCCTGCGTTTTGCAGATCGAATCCATGTGTGTTGTTTGTCGCTCTCTCGATCTTGTGCCATTTATTTCTAGCATCGCGAATGCTGACTTGGATGCATTGACATCCAGATGAGACGGTACTGCTTGAAAGCATCCTTTGCTGTAAGCTCTTGCAAGAGACGGAGACAGAGCAAGAAGAGGAACACACAGAAAACACCGATTTCCTTTCGCTTGTCTCAGGACTGCAAGAAACCTTACTCGTTTAAAAAAGTTAACCCTGCACTGAGCCTCACAGTGGATGCAGAACTGAATGGTCAATGATCTACAGTGAGAGAACCACCAACATCTTGGGCTCGGCTTGGGAGCCCCTAAACCCCAAACCCTAACCTCTAAGCCCTAAACCCCACAGGCAAAGCTTTGTCTCGGCTTTGGACAAGCGTAGCCTGTCGCTCTGCGTTGCCCAGGAAGCGGCGATAGTGCTTGCCGAACAGGTGGGTCAGGGGGTTCAGCATGAGTCTGAGTTCCCAAGCCTTCAAGCCTTTTGACGAGACCCTCCAGAGTTTTCGGATTGCGGCAACTTTCACCTTCGATGTTCCGAATGCCTCAGCTGCTCCCCATGCTCTTGCCCTTGCCCTCGACTGCCCAAACCTGTGGAAGTATAGAGCACCCACAGATGTGCGGTGGGATGATGTGATGATGGCCTGCGGACAGTGCAGGTGCCGCCAAGACGCAAGTTCGTCAGCAGTGAGGCCTTGGGTTCTCCAGGTAGTTTGTGCCTTCGAAGAATTTCATATCTCGGCTTCAGGTCGCATCTCAAGGGAGCCCGTAAGACAGAGAGTTCCCATGAGTCCCCGCCTTGTCTTCTTGTGCTGCTGCCACCACCAGGTGCAGTTGGCATCCGCGTTTAGAGATTCCCTGCCATCTCGATCTCCATTGCTCAGCTCAGCTACACCTTGATCCTTTTCTGTTCCAAGCCGTAAGCCTGCTTGATCCTGAGAAGCGTTCGGCGACTTCGCGCATCTTGCGATCAGCCCAAGATGCCTCGAAGGACATGCAGATGACACTGGCCGACGCCAGCCTTTGCCCATCGGGCACACTGCTGGTCGATGCCGCGCCCATCAAGGCTCGCAAAGATCAGAGGGGCGAGTTGTTAGGGTTTCCCTGGGGCTCGAGTTGTTAGGGTGCCCATGAAAACCTGTAATGGTAGTTGAGAGGTTTGAGCACTTGAGTGCGAAGCATCTTGGAGTCTGCGGCTTCATTTGATATCGGACAATGGCGTTTGGCCGCTGAAGATTGGCATGAACTCGCCCTAGACCCGAAAATCCCTTGAACAGAAATACCTGAAATCCGTCGAAACTTCCGCTGCCTCCCCTCAGATCGCAGTGCCTCCCCCACTTGCCGCTTCCTCAGCCCGGGAGAAGTGCTAGCCTCCTGAGGGATGTTGTGGGGATTAGGGGTTTAGGGGTTTATAGTTATAGGGCTGTAAGGGTTCGGGATTACAGGGTCGTAGGATTTAGGGTTTATACTTATAGGGCGTTATAAGGGTTTGGGATTATAGGGTCGTAGGATTTAGGGTTTCTAGTTATAGGGCTTTAAGGGTTCGGGATTATAGGGTCTTAGGGTTTAATTACAGGCGTTGCGGGTCCAGGAGTATAGGGTCTTAGGGTTTAGGGTTCGGGGTCTGGGCATCTTTAATCTTACAATCTTACCATGTTGAAAAAGTTAAGAGGTGGCCAAGCAGAATCTCGTTGCGTCGTTGCTCGCAACATGTCCGTGTCGTACTCTAAACCCTAAACCCGAAAGCCTTTTCACTGTCATGTCTATGTACCTTTCCAACAGACATAACGGCACGCGTCACAGTAAAGACCCTGAAAGCCACGGAGCCAGAAACCTCAGACCCCACATCAGCCTAAAACCCTTAAAGCCCCGTAAGCCTCGTGGACCCTAGGCCCTATACATCCCATTGACCTTAAAGCCCTTATATAAAAAGAGCCTAGAAAACCCTGGAAAATGAAATGCAACCCTCTCAACACACCCGACTAGCCAACTCAACAACAACACCCGTTGAAGATACCGGTTCTTAGTAAGCAATAGTGAGGTGCCCTGCATAATCCGATTCAGGATTTAGGAATTAGGGTTTAAGGTTCGGGTTGAGCGGTTTGAGGGGGACTGGTTCTAGCATACGATTGCACTACGGGGAAGTCGCCTCGCATGCCAGATGCCGCGATTTCCTTGGCACACAGGGGCTGACCTTTCCAGGCTGAGCCCATGTATTCAGATCGGTTCAAGTCTAAAAGCCCTAAAAGCCCCAAAAGCCCCAAAAGCCCTAAAAGCCCTAAACGCCCTAAAAGCCCTAAGAGCCCCAAAAGCCCCAAAAGCCCTGAAAGCCCTAAGAGCCCCAAAAGCCCTAAAAGCCCTGAAAGCCCTAAGAGCCCCAAAAGCCCTAAAAGCCCTGAAAGCCCTAAGAGCCCCAAAAGCCCTAAGAGCCCTGAAAGCCCTAAAAGCCCCAAAAGCCCTAAAAGCCCCAAAAGCCCCAAAAGCCCCAAAAGCCCTAAGAGCCCTAAAAGCCCTGAAAGCCCTGAAAGCCCTAAAAGCCCTAAACCCTAAACCAACCCTCCCCAGATGAGCCGACCCCGAGGTCCCCGAGCCGGTCGAGCCGGCGGAGGCCTTCGCCAATGTACGGTTTAGGGTTTAGGGTTTAGGGTTTAGGGTTTAGGGTTTAGGGTTTAGGGTTTAGGGTTTAGGGTTTAGGGTTTAGGGTTTAGGGTTTAGGGTTTAGGGTTTAGGGTTTAGGGTTTAGCCTCTAGGGTTTAGGGTTTGGGGTTTAGGCTTGAGGGTTCAGGGTTTAGGGTTTAGGGTTTGGGGTTTGGGGATATTTGGAACCATTTTCTGTTTTTTGGGTACTATAATTCCTAAGAAGCTAAATGTTGCTAGGGTTCCAAGTTCAGTATAGTGTATACATGGGATCCTTCATCACCCCACCTGCAACTCTCCACTTAACGTGAGGCTGCTTTTTTGGGGTAGGGGGGTAGTTCGGGCAGGATCCCATTGCGGTCTGCGGGAGCTTAAGTAGCGGAGACCCAGGTAAACACAATGGGAGAGTATGAAACCCCAACTCTGCCAGGACCACCTGCAGAACTTACTGAAGCACTTGAGGACCCAATACTTGAGCATCGGGAGGTCTAGGTCAACAACCCGAAACCCTAAACCCCAATAAACGCTGGAAAGCATGGCGGGCGTATGCCTGCAAAGCCCTGCGCAGGATGATCCGCAGCCAGCCCAGGTGGACGACGACCAACAGGCGTTGGCGGGGTTTAGGGCTCGGGGTTCAGAGGTTCAGGGTTTAGGGTTTAGGGTTTAGGGATTAGGGTTCAGGGTTTGGGGTGTAGGGTTTAGGGATTTGGGTTTAGGGTTCAGGGTTTAGGGTTTGGGGTTTAGATTTCAGGGATTAGGTTTTAGGGTTCTCGGGTTTAGGCTTTGGGGTTTAGGGTGTAAGGTCTAGGGGTAGAGCTATATATGCCCCCCATTCCGTACTAAGAACCAGGGGCATAGTTGAAGCTGAGGGTGTAAGCAGTAGGATAGCTATCGATGTAAGCTCACTTAGGATACTTCGAAGTTTATATACCCTGGGTTTTGGCGTACTGTACTTGAGTACTCTTTTTGGTTCTGGGTTCCTATGAGAGCTACTTATGCCTAACAAGTATATACTTTTTTCCAGGGTCTACTCCAAAGTAGGGTAACAATGCTAGGAGCCTTGGGTGCACTTGCTTTGGGTTTGCAGGCCTGGCGGCCTGGTTCTGGTTACAACCATATTTGGGGCACGTTCAACCCTACTTCTATCTACCTATGTGCCTCTGAACGTCCACGTAAGACACGGTAAGCCAGAAACTGTAAGCCCGAAAGCCTCAAGACCTAAGCAAAGCAGATCTTGGGCAAGCTGATCTGGGGCAAGCTGGTGAATTTCCGTGCTGATCTCCAAGTCATTGCAAGGGTTTCGGAGTTTGTTGTTTTGTGTGTTTAGGGTTTCAGGGCTTAGGTTCTAGCCCCGCTTGTCACCCTCACCTAAGCTTCCTCAGGTCTCAGGTGGTGAACCTTCAGAACCCGGTTCTGACGACGATGACGGTCACGACGATTCTGGGGATGATGATGATGATGATGGCCAGTACCCTCCAGGTGGCTTGGAACAATGCGACGTTAGTGTTTTTTTGAGGGGCCCTACATTGCATGATTTTAGGTTTTTTGTTTTTTGTATCTTGGGGAGGGCGGGGGGGGGGGGCGGGGGGTACACAGGTATGTACGACCTCTGAGTGGTTCATAAATCGGCTGGCCCTCAAGGATGTTTGAGCCTTGCAAGGATTTGCCCCCCTCGAAGCCCTAAACCCAGTGGCATGGACGGCCCGTCCGCGAATTTTGGTCATGCGGCCACTACCCCTCCACCCCCTCCCCCCCCCCCCCCCCCCCCAAAAAAAAAAAAAAAAGCTTTGCAGCGATCTTGTGTTGCGAGCCCGTTAAGAGCACATCAAGCCAGAAGGAACTTCCTTTCTCATGCCGGAGTTCTGGAAAATTCTCTGGAAAGCTTCTGCAAAGCTCTCTTTCCGCGCCCCATGTAGGCAGAAGCCCCAAGACATGGAAAGAAAGTCCTCCAAGCCCCACAACTGTTGCAGAGGAGGGCTTAGGTTTATCTGGCTCAGGGTTTGTCATGTGGGAGAAGGAGGGTAGAACGAAACGGTGCCGTCACCTCCACCCAAATGGCTCGGGATCCCAAGTGTGGAAGTATCAACCCCGACGGGGTCTCCATGTAGTCATACACTTCATACCTTCTGCAGATCGTAACTTAGCCCTTAAACCCTAAACCTAAACCAGGGTGTCAAGTAGAATGATTCGTTGGCCCATGCATTTCGCACCAACGTCGCTAAAAAACAGCCGACAGGGAGCTCTCACCACGTTCTGCCCTGTGAATGGTCTTTTAACGTTAAAAACTCCATTTAGGGTTTTTAGGGCTTTTTGAAGTAAAAAAGCCCTAAGCACCGCGTTCTGCCCTGTGAAGGAGCCCCCTTCTTCGGCAAGGGCTTCGGTAAAGGCCGAGGCAGAGGTGCCACTTTTGGGGTTTAGGGTTTAGGGTTTAGGGTTTAGGGTTTATCGTTGTTTGGGAAGAACTGTCACCCTTTTCGGGCTATCGATAGTTTTAGGGGTTTTAGGTGTAGGGTTTCGGAAAAGGTTAAACTCCGGGTCGCATGTCCATGCCTGGGCAGTCGTTGTGTCAAGTACGAGTCGGAGCTTGGACAGCAATGCTTGGGTTTGGTGAAAGCCTGCTACTGATGTCCGACAACGGAACACAAGCGCCCGTGCCAATGGCACGTTCAGGGACCTAGTGATAACTAGCCAAGGCCCCTACCTTTTTCCCCGCAAATAATGCATTCTTTCACTTGTTCTTGCATTTATACCTTGCGACAGCTGGCCGGCTGGCCAGACCAAGAACTTCCACCGTAATCCTAATGGTCCATGTGGTTGTAGCTGTTTCAATCTGGTAGTTGTTCAAGATTGCTGTCGCCCAACAGGCCATCAGGCAAGTTCTCCTTTTTCGGTAAAGATTCCGCTCTTAAATTAGGGTCCTTATTATAAGGGAATCTACTATTCTGGGGTCTGTGTTAGGGGTCTTTCATTTTCGTGAACCCCACAGATCCCTGAAACTCTACACTCGCAGGTCTTCCAGGGTACCGATGGACACCGGAACTGTTTTTGGACCGCTTTGAGCGCATGGGGCACTTTCAGTGGCAGAACTGTCCGGAAACAACGTGCAGCCGGAACAAGAAGCACCTAACACCCTAGACCACATAAACCTTTCAGTTAGTTCTCTACGGACACTCCAGTCAGGGAAACCCTAAAACTTGTAAACCTGCAACCGCAACACCCCCAGACCATCCCCAACCTAGAATTTCCCTCAACCCTAAGAACCTAAAACCTAGACCCTAAAGACTGTATCCCTAAACCCTAAAAACCTACAACCTGGACCCTAAATCCTGCAATCCTCGGCCCAAAGCCCGCATCCACATAATGTGTTCTCTGATCCAGGCACTGGCAGTGGCACTTTCGGCGCAGGGTTTGGCAGGTGCCTTCGCAGGGTTTACGGCTTTGGGGTTTTCAAGGCTTCGGGTTCGGGGTGTTCGAGGCTTCAGGGCCCTAGAACCCTAAACTAAGCCCTGAAGCTTTATAGGGTTTAGGGTTTAGGGTTTCGGGTTGAGGTTCTTCTTTCCGGGAGCTGGAGGGCTTGCAGGGTAGACGTCTGGGCGCGATGGAGAACTGTGACTTCGGCCATGTGCCAAAAAAAACACCTCACGCAATCTGTATGTGTGTATATACATATTATATATATATATATATACATATATACATGTGCACATACGGCGTGTGTGTATATGTGTATATAATCAAGCTCAACACCGATGCCCGGAGAGAAGTGAAAAGTCTGGATGGTTCCTTTCCTGCATTACCTGGCATAGGCCGGCTCAGTTTACATGGTTTGGTTCGGGGTATCACGCAGCTCTCACAACAGCCACAATCCGGTGAAACATGCTGCGTGAAGCATGCTGCGGCTCGCCCTGAAAAAACTAAGAGACTGAATTTGACCCTACGGTCACGCAACCCATCATGAATGCAGAGGAGCACCCTGATTCTTTGACTAGATTTCTTACAACCCACATTAAGCCAAAACCATGATTCTCCGTTTCATCCCTAGGTCGTTTGGTTACCTAAGCCCTCAAACCCTGAACCCCAAACCCTGAACCCTAAACCCTTAACCCTTAACTTTGAGCCTCAGGGGTAACATGGGCGGCGGCTTTGGGGCACAGTGGCGTTTCGGTCCTACTGGCCCCGGGCCTCTGATGCCAGACGACGAGGGCGGCCAGGCCGGGTCTAGGGTTTAGGGTTTAGGGTTTAAGGTTTCGGGTTTAGGGATAGGGTCTTGGCTTAGGTGCTTCGGGCTTTGAGCGTGTAGGGCTTTTGGGGGTATTCAGGGCTTGAGGGATTTTTCTTGGCTTGCGGCCGGCTTCATTGCAAAAATGGTTTATGGAAAATGGTCTTGATTATTCATTTATTTGTTTATATATGTATATACATACATATACAGGGTTTAGGGTTCAGGGTTTGGGGGTTTAGAGTTCACATGGGCAGGTTGTGTGAAGCGCACTTGGAATTTGCGGGCTCGGCTCATGCAGGTTCTGGGCAGCACCGGCACCGCCACCACCTTCCCAGCCGGCCCGGGCCAAACAACAGGCGCTAGAAGTGTCCTTGGTAGCCCATGGGCACGCTTTTGCCGTTTTCGGGTTCTGGGTTCGCGTGTAAGAAGTAATCAACCCCCAACTTTAAAGGGAACTCTTGTTTTGATGTGCTAGCTGGTCTATCAACTCGGGGTCGCGGAGTTCTGGCGTTGTAGAAAGGTCCGACCACAATGCCCTACCCGAGCTGCCCTGGCAATCTCGAGCGCATGGCCTTGCAAGGCACTGCGAGCCCTGAGGAGCAGCGCGCCGCCCGCGAGGAGAGATGGGAGTGTAAGGGCCCATATGGGCCCGTGTACCTCCACGTTACGTCGGAAGCACTATACTATACTAATACTATACTAATACTATACTGTGCTATACTATACTATATTATACTATACTATACTATACTATAGAGCCCAACGATACCTTGCGGTGCGGCGAAGGTACATGGACAGTCAGCCTTACGGATATGACTGAAGGGTGGGTTCTGGTACGCGAAGTCTGCACGGGTTACATACTGGCCACAGCCAGCAAGCAGATCACTAGGGTTGTCTCAGGCTGCCGAGATGTCATGATCGAGCTCGGGGGCCACCCAAAACCCAAAACCCAAAACCCCATTGGATTCGAGTGGATACTTTGCCTGTGCTATGAAGGTGAGACAGGAGTTGTACACTCGCGTGAAAGCATGGGGACTTCGGGTAGTTATTTGTATTCATTTCACAGGTCAACATTGTGTCTTTTCAAGGCATCCTAGTGGAACAGTGGGATGATTCATTATCTTCCTTCCATGAGTCCGCGAGGATCCCATTAAGGAATCCTTGTGTTCAAAGGGTTGAGTTTAAAGGGCCAGCCGCGTGAACCTGAAGCACGCGTTCCTGGACGCCCTGCTCTGACACAGGCTCGCCTTGCAGCGCTGGAAAGACGTGCAGGCTCGGTGAAGTTTGTTTAGGGTTCTGGTTGGGCCTACAATGGGTTGCCCATAAATATTGGTGAGGGCATAAATTGGGTGTCCTGGCGAAAACACTAGTAAAATTGTACTTTGTGCACACCCAATCCCTCAGTGGAAGAAGTGAAGAGTGGGTCATGCACTGGATGGCATGCAACGAAAAGGAGAACTGACACGTCATTCGTATTGCCATTGGGGTTGTTATCATTATTGTTATTGTGAATGTTTTGCCGTGAGCATGGGGGCAAATGAATATTGACGATTTTGGGGTGGGTTTTCAGGGAATATTCGTATCTTGAACTATCCAGGAAGGCTTTTGCAGCATTTTTGTTTTTTGTGAGTCTGTTGGTGCTCTAAATGTTGATTAGCCACTCCAGGAAAATTCCTGCACCAGCCTTTTTTCTGGACGCATGTAATGCCGCACAGCCTCATGATCTGAAGCGTTCCCGGAAAATCCTTCAAACCTCACCCTGTCCTCAGGGCACCTCAACTGTTTCACTTCCTTTGTGGTTCTCTGTGCTTGGCCAGGCCCAGCAACACAGGCCAGCTGCTACCGGGAAATCGACCTGTTCTCTTAGCCAACTGGGGTTATACTGTGCTGGATTCCCAACCCTAAGGCCTAAACCTCAAGAAATCCGTTGTTGCAAGCTGTGCTGCGCCCCGTGGTACAGTTTTACATCGTTCTTGCAGGCCCAGACTTGTTGGTGATGTAGCACATGAGCCCTAAACTCTGAGACCCTAAAGCCCTAAACCCTAAAATCCTGTCATGGAGCCGTATAGACCCTATTAACCTCATGAGCGCTTCCCAAAAGAGTCTCTGAACCCGGTAGGGTTTAGGGTTTAGGGTTTAGGCTTTCGGGTTTAGGGTTTAGCGCTTAAACCGGTTGGAACCAAAGCCCCAACAGTTTAACAGCCCTACAGCGAGAGCAAGCCCTGCCTGGAACTCCCAAACTTCACGAATTACGTAGTAGGTAGCCTAGCCGCTCGAATATGGCTCCAACATGCCCTTGACCCTAGACCTCATCCGTTGAGTACCCTAAACCCTAAACCCTAAACCCCGAACCCCAAACCCCAAACCCTAAACCTTAAACCCTAATAGTAGGCAACGACATGCAGAGCCCCAAATCAGTCCTGTGCCCTGTCTGCTGGAAGCAGGGAGCTCCAGAGACGAAGCCGGCGCGGGCCTTGGGGGGTTTAGGGTTTAGGGATTAGGGTTTAGGGTTTAGGGTTTCGGGTTTAGCATTGCAGCTGAATCCGCCGCTTGCAGGTTCATGGATTTTTGGGTTGAGGGTTGGGGTTTACAAGCGTTTAGGGTGGGTTTTGGGGGTTTTGGGTTCAGGGTCGGGTTTAGGGTGTTGGCGTTTGGGGTTTGGTGCCGTAGTTATAACCACTGGGGGCGTTGCTCGGCCCATTGCCAGTTCTGGCTCTGCTAAGGGGATCCTGCGGTTGTGAAGAGGTTTAGGGTTTTGGGTGTAGGGTGTAGGGTTTAGGGTTTAGGGAGTAGATGCAGAGGCACGGCAGGATTTCATATTAACTTGCGAGGGCCTTCACGGACAGGCCTTTTCATGGCTCTCTGGGAGGGGTTGGTTTTGAGTTGTGAGGGGCAGAATATCTCGAGAGGCTGGCATCTTCGAGAAGTAGGTCTCGCCGGAGAACGAGATGATTTGGCGTTTGTGAAACATTCGGGCAAAGGGATTTGGGCTGAGTCCTTTTGTCTTGTGTTTGGCCGTGTGCGTTGCGGTGGGCTGAGGCAGGGGTCGTGAGCGAATGAACGTTCGTAACCAACACTATTATAGTCATGGTACTTGTAGCCACCGTTACACATTCCCATGACCCTCCATTGGGGAGGTCAGGGTTAAGGTATGGTTCATAAGGTCTAAGCCAGTGGCCGATGTTGTACCTGGGAGCCCATATCTTCTACGGTAGCAATGCTACAAGGAAGAATGGTTCCACGAGCATGGTGATGTTTGTACTGAAGGTTCCGCTTGTGGTCTCGCAGTTCTGACTAAACTGACAACCACCGGAAGTACCCCCGACAGGCATAGAGCCGTCCCAGGGCAACTGTTCCGTCCAACTATAACAATACAGTTTTAGGAGTGGTTGATATCACCACCCTGAGACCTCCGACACTAGACGCCTCAACAGATCCTTTGCACCAAATGCTCGGAGGCTCAATCTAGAGCTGGGGCCACATAATTATCTTGAAACCACAAAGTAAACGAGGCCAAGGCCTCCGCGGCAACAAAAAATTCCAAGCGGAGTACAAAGGGCCAAGCTTGGGTACCCCCGCAAAACCTACGACATCAACACTGCGCTCATGCCGACAATTTCACTCGATGGTAAGTGGTATGTAGCCCACCATCACACACAATCCTCAGCCACCTGGTTCACTCAACCGTTGCCATCGGAGATTTTGTACACGCAAAGTTGTCATCTATACGCCGCCCCCGCGCGCCAAGTTGTGGCATTTGCCAACGACATCCACATCCGTCAGCATTGCAGTGGGACTGGACTGAAATTACGAATTGCAAAATTGCGTCGGAAACGTTGTCGAGTTATGGTAGATGGCTGCAAGGGCTACTGGCCAGAATGTTGCTGCGTGACACACGCCCACGTCATGTCACGGTACAAGCAGAACGATGTAGAGCTGATGCAATCAATACAAGTTTAGCGCGATTTGTGTCATTGTTGTACGACAAAGGTCTGCACGAAGCTTGAATGGCATGATTAAGCCAACGCTTGTTTCAAAGAGCGAAGCACATCCTTGTTAACCGATGCTGTCCCTAAGGCCGAACCTTCCGCATCAGGACGAAGATGTTGCTTCGTGGATGGAATTCTTGTAATGTGCAAAAAAGGTAGTCGTTAGAACTTTGTTTGGGGCACCAGAACCATACCTATACCTCCTCAGCCCTTTTAAGTACTTTCAAGATGCACATGCACAGATTATTGTGTATGCATCGCTGGGCTTCAACAAGCCGACCGGTCATTTGTACTTTTCACGAGGAGCCTCCATGCCGGCGCATGAGTCCGGAAGAATCAAGGCTCCTGCATGTGAGAGTCTTGGTGCATTTCGGAGGATTCAGATTCCGTCTTTCAGAGTTTAGTTTGAGTGCATAGTTCTGTTGTAATTATGTTTGGGTGCGTTGCGCCATGTGTTTTTTGGTTGCGTTTGGGATACAGCAAAACCCCTCACATGATGCATTTTTTTGCCTCAGAACTGTTATGTAAGGCTCCATGGTGTGGGCAACGTGAGCACACGTGCCCCAAACATGTAGTATTTGTGTTGTATAAGAGCTCAGGGACCCCTACACAGACTAGCTTCAAGGCTTGCGGCTTGCACTTTCTGTACACGGGAGATGAATGGCTGCACGACCGGCAGTGATATGGCGTTTCCTGAGCCTTGTTTCCGGTACATGAAGGCCCCAAACCCGAAGCCCTAAACCCCAACAACCCTAGAACAAAATGCCCGAAAACCCTCAAAAAAAACCGAAAATGCCCTGCCCTGAAAGGCCAGAAAGCCCTACAAGACCCCGACGAAGCCGAAAAAGACCTAAGCCCTGACACCCAAAACCCTAAAACCTTAAAACCCTCCCCCAAAAGCCCTAGAACCCTAAAGAGCCTTAAAAAGCGCAAAAAAAAAAAAAACCTAAAACCCTAAAAAGCCCAATGCCCTAAACCCTTACACGCAGGGCCAGCTGGGCACAGGGGCGTCGAAAGCCGCCCGAGCCAAGGCTCGGTCGATTCCCCCCGTTTTTGGGTTTAGGGTTTAGGATTTAGGGTTTAGGGTTTATGGTTTAGGGTTTGCGAACCTAAGCCCTAGACCCGAATTGCGCCCACCCCAGGAAATTCGACTGTGTCTGGTGAGGGTTAAGGGCCTAGGACCCCTCCCCCCCGAAGCATTACGGTACAGAAGATGCTGAAAAACAATAGCCCCAAATTCATTACAACCGGGCCCTTTATCTCGAGGTGTTTCAGGGCGCGGGATGAGTGTGAACTGGTAGCGAGGAGTTGAGGTTACGTCAGTAATGATACTGCTGTAATGCTGCAATATTAGTGGGGGCAGCTCTGGTATCCTACACCCATGTTACTGTACACCCTGAACTGATCTACGGCTCTGCTTGCGTTTCAGAAGGTAGCCATCTCGGCTTCCCCACGCTTTGAAAGCCCGACCTTGAAATCAAACAGCTGCCAGGAGCGTGAGGCCATCCTACAGCAGATGGAAGTCGCACTGGCGTGATTTGCCCCAATCCTGAAGAATAAAAGTCACCAGAATAACCATAATAATAATAATCATAATAATTACAATACGAATAAGAATAATAGTAATAATCATAATATTATGCCCAAAGAGTATTTTGATTGAACCCTGGACCCTGCATTGCCTTGGTCTGAGGGTCCTCGAACCTCAGCATGGCACGTCAGACAGCCTCGAAAACAGAGACCGCTACAACCTTGAACGTTTGTTCAACCTCTAGAAGGCTGCTGCGACAACATGGGTCCATGGTGGTTAGCTGAAGGCATCAAGCTGTGACCGCAGCGTCTGAACGCCAGGAAGATCGCCAGCGCTTCGAGGACCTTTCTGCCGAGAAGCTCGCTGAACCGAATAAAGAGCCCTAACAGGCCCTAAGCCCTAAACCCACAAAGGCTTGAATAGCTTAGAGCTGCCGGGTGTTCAAAGCGTGCGTCTGAAATGGGCTCGGGGGTGAAGATGGTTAAGATGCCTCCCTCTCCCAGACGTTTTGAAAATGGGGGGTCAAAGGAGGGAAAACGGGAGGGTCTTCACCTCCGAAACCCATCCATCACCCCGCCATGGTCTGCGGATATCACCTTCACCCGGGCCATAAACCCTAAACCCAACCTCTCAACCCCCGAAACAAAAGAGTCGAAAATCCAAGTAAGAACCTTACTTCTCAATTATCACCTGCAACTCCGGCTTCGCGCTTAGGGCTTAGGGCTTAGGGCTTAGGGCTTAGGGCTTAGGGCTTAGGGCTTCGGGCTTCGGGCTTCGGGCTTAGGGCTTCGGGCTTCGGGCTTCGGGCTTAGGGCTTAGGGCTTCGGGCTTAGGGCTTAGGGCTCAGGGCTGAAAGTTTTGAGATTGGGATTTAGGTTTCAGGGAAGGCTCACTTAAAGCCAAGTTGTTCGGAGGAGCGCTACGTGGCGCCAAGCGCAGTGGCAGCTCAAAGCGAAACCAAAGCCGAGGCCCCTTTGGGCACGTAGCACCTGAGTAGGGTTTAGGGTTTAGGGTTTAGGGTTTAGGGTTTAGGGTTTATGGTTTAGGGGTTAGGGTTTAGGGTTTAGGGTTTAGGATCGGGGCACTTAGTAAGTAGGGTCATAGGTACATTTCTTGGGCTTATAAGTATAGTTTCGCTACTTATATCCGCACTTACTAAGTCCCTAGCTGATCCTTAGGGTTTAGGGTTTGCGGCTTTTGGGTTTTTTGGGGGGTAGGCTCAAAAGGACTCCCACTGGCATTTGTGTGTAGGGACCCAAATCCCGAAGAAACGTGGCCTCCTTCTGTTGCAGCGAAAAATGGCTGCATTCAAGAAAACGGGGTGACCAGCCCAAAGGGTGCCCCAAGTTTAGGGTTTAGGGTTTAGGGTTTAGGGTTTAGGGTTTAGGGTTTAGGGTTTAGGGTCCCACATACCCGTGGGGGGGGTTGGAGCTAGGGCCATCAGTCAATTTCCTAAGGGAGAACGCGATATGACCAGGCCAACATCCATGCGCACACAGAAGCTCGGGGCAACCACTCTAGCTACTAGTTGGAGGTTTCAGCCTCAAAGCTCCGAGAAACGGATGCTGAAATGGACCGATTTGCACCCGACGACACAAAGCAAAAACTGTGCTTTATTGTGGGGAGCAAATTGGGGGGTGTAAACACAGGGTTGGGTCAAGAGATGATAGACACTCGCTTCACGGGCTCACAGCCGGCTGCGAAGCCAAAAGCTGGGTTTGTCGTCCGGAAGCATGTAGGTTCAGTTCATCCGAAAAGATAACGGGGGATCCTTACTTACTTTTCCTCGGTTGCTCTGGGGTCTATCTGAAGTTTGTCCAGGATGTGAGGGAGGTACCGTAAGAACGAGAATCTGTCCAGCCACTGACGTGTATTAGATGCAGCATATACTGACTACACCAACTAACCGGTTCTTTTTTGCCCAAAAGCATCGGCTCTGCTGTCAAAAGGGGCTGTAGGCTTTTGCAGTGCCCGGGCAAGAGCTTTGTTCAGCTTCCACCGACAAGAACCATCTCCAGGATCGTGGGGGCTGACACTGTTGTTTTTGCTTCACAGGTACTGGTGCTCCAAACCCTAAACGCTAAGCCCGGAACCCGAAACCCTAAACCCTTAGTCTTAGCCTAAACCCTATAGACCCTGAACCCGAAGCCCGAAGCCCTAAACCCTGTCCCTGAACCCTAGAACCCTATTGCTAACTACAACCCTAGAAACCAAGCGTTCGTCCAGTTTCGCGCAGCACTTGCGAGTGACAGCACGCAGGCATCTGGAGCATGCCGACAGGCCTGGGCCAGAACCATAGGGGTTTTTGGCCTTTGTTCTTTTGGGGGATTGGGGGATAAACATTTCAGAGCTTTTGGGCTCTTTGTCTCTATGATTTCAGGCTTTCTAGGACTTTATGTTTTCAGGACTTATTTCAGGACTTAGGGTCACCCGACGAAGCTCGGTTAGAAAAGAGACCGCTGCGAAGGTGCGGCTACAAATTCGCTGCGCCTCTTCTGGTCGCGTCGCCGGGAGCTGAGTACGGGTAGCTCTGAATTAGGGTTCAAGGGTAGAGTTTGGGATTAAAAGAGGGCCCTGAACCCTAAACCCTAAACCCTACAAGGGGGCGGGGTCGCTCCTTTGTTGGTGTCTAAATGTTGAGGCTTGCAAAGTTTTCCGACTCGTGCCTATCTCTTGGACCTCCGCAGCTTCTCATGGTGCTTTTGCGAACATAAGCTTCTTGCTGTCTCCCAGAGTGGTTTAGTCTGGTCCTGCGCCGCCCTCAGAAGTAGGAGCGCTTCCTTTGATAAAACTTCTGACTGACCTCCCAGATCTTTAAGTCTGGGAGTCTTAGGGTGAGTAGCCCAAGAACAGCTGCTCACCAGAGCTTGTTTTCAGGTGACTGGCACCAGTTTCGGGCCCGATGATACCCTTCTGTCGGTGCGTGACTTCGCTGCAAAGGACTCCCGCCTCAACAGGCAGTATGTATACGCACACTCTTTTTTATGTTTACAAATGCCTATGTGTGTATATCTGTATATTTTTGTAAATGTAATGTATGAGGGTACATATTATATACATACATATATATATATACTGGTACAGCAAATACACATACCGGAAGCGGCTTCAATGGCCGTATATTGTTGCACAGTGCTTGACTATACTCGCTTGAGTTCGTTTCCATGCGTCTACATATTCCCACGGCCCACTCCCCTGTACTGTTCTTGTATGTGCAACGCCATATATGTACTCATGAACGTATATGTATATGCATTTGCACTCGGTTTTCTGAACGATTTGGCTGAATACAACCCCTACTACAGACTCAGACTGTGCCCAGAAGGGCGGGATCCCAAACGAAAGCCTTAGATAGGCAAACAAAGGTACCTGGTTATTGTTGTTATTACTGTCATTATTATTTTCCTATTGGTATGAGTATTGTTATAATCATTATTGGTACTATTCCTAGGCTATTGGGCAACCTAGGCCCTTTCCTCCAAGAAGCCCCACCAGAAAAGGGCTCCGAGTTCATTCCTAGGCAAAACTCCAAATGGGGGTTTCCGAAAGTAGGGTACCTTTTTGGGGTCATTATTAGGGTTTAGGGTGTAGGGTTTAGGTTTTAGGGTTTGGGGTTTGGGGTTTAGGTTTTAGGTTTAGGGTTAAGGGTTATAAGGCGATCCTACTATTTGGGGGTCCATATTATGGGCCCTCTATTTTTGGGGTCCTCTATTTTCGTAAACCCCAAATCCAGCGTGCGGCAGGAGCTCTGTCTCCTTCTGGGCGAGGGCACCGATGGCCCTGAGATGTCGCCCCTCGCATCGAGATTTGGAGTAGGGCTTGTTCCAAGCATGCGGTTTAGGGTTTAGGATTTAGGGCACACACACACACACACTTAAGCATCCACTTCCTTGAATCATTGTGGTTCTCCTATGCGACCCTGAACCCTCCTGACACCCTCAACCTGAAAGAACGAAACCGTACATCCTGTAAACTTTATCGTAAAGCCTATACAACCCGAAGCCCTAATTACCCACAATTCAACCTTAGACCCGGTATAACCCCCCAACCTGTCTAATCCTACACCCTGGACAACCCTAACCTTCGCTTGAACCCTATATGACCCAAACTCCGTGCAGCCCTATATCCTAGACCATATTCAACCCTGAAGTCTTTTCGCCACACAACCCCAAACCCTAACCCTCCATAACCCTAAGCCCTATCCAACCCAAACACACCAGACCCTACTCAGCCCTAAACCCCAAACTCTAAACTCCCAGACCTTATTCGGCCCTAAACCCTAAAAACCCTATCAACTCTATATCAACCCCATAAACCCTATAAACCCGATAAACCCTATAAGACCACAATCCCCAAGTTCCAGCTGCAAGGCTGGCTTTCCCACCGCGCACCTCCTTCACCTCGGAGGAGCAGCTGAGCTCCTCACTCGCGCAGCTCGGGCCGGGACACCCGAAGGGTTTATAGGGTTTGTAGGGGTGTAGGATTGTGGGGTTGAGGGTTTATAGGGTTTCTAGGGTTGAGAGGGTTTATAGGGTTTATAGGGTTGAGAGGGTTTATAGGGTTGATAGGGTTGAGAAGGTTTATAGGGTTGAGAGGGTTTATAGGGTTTATAGGGTGTACAGGGTTCATAGGGTTTATAGGATTTATAGGGTTTGTAGGGTTTACAGGGCTTATAGGGTTGAGAGGGTTTATAGGGTTGATAGGGTTGAGAGGTTTTATAGGGTTGATAGGGTTCATAGGGTTTATAGGGTTTACAGGGTTTAGGGTTTATAGGATCTAGTGCTTTGGGTTTAGGGCCTGGGCAGGTTTTGGGTTTGTAGGGGTGTAAGGATGTAGGGTTAAGGGTAGTTTAGTGGTGTTGAGTTGAACGATTTGTCGCAGGAGGGCGTCAGAATACAACAGCATAGAGTAAACGCTACCAGGGCGTGGCATGCGGCATGCACCAGACACATCAACCCACAAACAGACGGCAAACGTACATGCATATCTACATTGATGTACAAACTTTGCTTTCCTTGCAATGACCTCTTTCAGTGCAGTCCACTGTGACACTGTACCAGTGGGCTGCTTGTGTGGCCAGGCTAACGCCCAGTGCCACCCTCCTGATCAAGGCCGGCGTTGTTTTTTTTTCACCAGCGGCCCGAGGCTTCCAAGAAGATGGCACCCCTGAACTTAAGAACCTTCCCCAAAATCGAGAGATGAGAATCCCGATGTTGTCCTGATAAGGCAGACATATAATGCTTCCGTTTTTTGAGGGTTATGAAGCAAATCGTAGTGACGCCGAATTAAATCCCTAGGGCCTAAACCTGCAAGCCCAAGCGTTTCAAGCCCAAGCCTTGGGCTGCAAGAAGCCAGCAAAGGGTATAGGGTTTAGCGTTTAGGGTTTAGGGTTTAGGGTTTAGGGTTTAGGGTTTAGGGTTTAGGGTTTAGGGTTGTGTTGAGTTTTCTCTGTGGCCTGCGGCATGCTGCTTGGCACTTCACATGTCAAGCCTTGAGCTTGAATCCTCTCAGAGGTGGCCTTCTTGATCTTCCCCCTCGGGTTTAGGGTTTAGGGCTTAGGGTTTAGGGTTAGGGTTTAGGGTTTAGGGTTTAGGGTTTGGGGTTTAGGGTTTAGGTTTAGGGTTTAGGGTTTAGGGTTAGGGTTTAGGGTTTAGGGTTTAGGGTTTAGGGTTTAGGGTTTAGGGTTTAGGGTTTAGGGCTTAGGGCTTAGGGTTTAGGGTTCAGGGTTTAGGGTTCAGGGTTCAGGGCTCAGGGTTCAGGGCTTTAGGGTTTAGGGAACCCTGACTCCTCCCGCGCAACAGGGCATCTCTGCGATGCCAGCAGCGCCTGCGGAGGACGCAGAAGGAGGCAGCTCAGTCGGTTTAGGGATTAGGGTTTAGGGTTTAGGGTTTAGGGTTTAGGGTTTAGGGTTTAGGGTTTAAGGTTTAGGGGGTCCATGGACCTTTGTAGTATGGGCGAGTATGGGGTTTAGGGTTTGGGGTAGTAAGGGTTGAGGGTTTAGGGATATATACTTGGGCTTTAAAGGGGTTCCCATACAGTAGCTTAGGGCCCAAATTTATACGATTTAGGCGCATGGAGATTTTAGGGAATGTAGTGGACGGATATAAGCTGCACAGTGGCTGTGACGTGTTTAGGGTCTACAGGGTTTACCGGGCGCGTGGGTCACAAAGCAGGGCTCTTGGGCTGCCCCGTCTTTCGTGGAATGCCGACCTGGGAACGGCTTTGCTCCCGTCCGAAATGCAACAACTGAGCCGATCTCAAAGCATTTTCAAATTTTAAGGCCCTGGCAGTCTGTACCCCCCTCCAGCCACTTACGCTAGGCGCAGCAGCTCCTGAAGTCCCATCAGCACCCACTTCAGCGTCGTGTCCACGGGGCCATGCCATGGTGGCTGAGCTGCATGGGTCCAGTCTTGCTTGAGGAAGCACGGAAAATCACAGGCACCCGAGTGGGTTCTTGCATTTCGGCGACCTGGGATGGATCCCTGTTGCAGTTCCCATTCCTAGATCATGTGCAGCATCTCTCGCTTGTGCAAAATGACTGTCACAGCTTCCACTTTTCGTATCAGGGCTCGGTTCCATGGTGTTCGTTCGTACTATTTCCAGAACCCCAGGCCTTGGTACCTGGGTGTAACGCACATCGCCTGAGCAAAACCCTTCAGCACAGCGCACATGTTGGTAGCTGAGCTCGCACTTGGAATAAGACAGAAGCAGGGCTTCGGATGTATTCAAGCTGCTGTACGACCATCAACACATAATCAAAGCATTCGCGTTGCTGTCTTGCTTTTGTGAGCATGCCGCGGGACGGAACCAAGCAGCAAAAGCGGAGCGGACACACATCCTGTGTAGTCATGTAGGTTCGAGTTCACTAAGACTATAAGCCTTTCCATGCCAGCATGTGCAACAAACAGATGTAAGAGGCTCATTCAACATGAGCATCCGTGAGGTTGCGTGCGTTCACAGCCTGATGTGTGGGTGCGTGTGTGTGTGCGTGTGTGTGTGCGTGCGCGCCCCGCGATCGCCCACCCCCACTGAATTGCTGCGTGTATCTGTTCAAAAGTTGCAGCCGCGCCACGAAACACGACCGCAACATAAACTCATAGAAACGAAAATCAGAGGCCCTGTGCCAAAGCAACACCTGACACATGCAATTAGTTTCAGGAGGGAAATTGTGCCTGTCATGGACAGAACAGCAGCACAATAAACCCTGGACCAGCAACATCTTTGAATCTGTTGTTCTTCTGCTCGCAATCAACGCGCCGGGGCAAGACCAGGTCGTCAAGAAGACAACAGAATGGATGCCATACCCTAAATCCTAAACGCCAAACCCAGTATCTACCTGCCTTCCTGGACGACTATAGTTTATGGTGTAGCAGCAGCGCCCCAACGTCCGCGGCAATCAAGCAAAACACAAGAAAAGAAGAGTGCAACGAAGAGAGGGAGAGAGAGAGAGAGAACACCCCAAAAAGCGAGCAGAGTCACCCAAAACCGCAATGTCCTCCCCTCCCCCTGCCTCCCCCCTCTAACCCTTAACCCCACATGAATCTCCCCCCTCCCCCTCCCCCTCCCCCCTCCCTCTCCCCCGTCCCCCTCAACCCCCTCAACCCCCACTCTCACGTTGCTCAGGTGTTGGTGGCGACCTCAGAGGATGCCTGGTGCGACAAATGTTCAGAGGACCCCGGGTGTGGGTTGGCGCGTGTTTAAGGGTCAAGGGTTTAGGGTTGAGGGTTGAGGGTTGAGGCAGGGTCCAGGGTTCGAAGATGTTTGTTCTTCATGTTCTTGTTGTCAATGTTTTTTTCTTGTTGATGGGTGCAGTCACCGAGAAGTTGGAGCTTGTGTAAAGAAGCGAGGCATAATCCAAGATAGCTCAAACTCTTTCCGTCTGTTGCACATGCTTGCAGGCTGCGACTGGAACTGTTTTTCTGCGTTGTGTTTTGTTTTGTTGTTTTAAGTCCGCTTCATTTCTTATAAGGGAGCCTATTCATACATACTTTTTAATTGGCTTAAAGCACAACTCAGTTTTTGGTTTTAGTAAAGCCATCGTCTGCCGATGCTCGCAAGCCGCACACGTAATGGCAGCAGGTGCACGGGGTAAGGCAAGGGTCAGGAAGATTCAAGAAGCATTGTTTAAGACATAGTCGTCAAGGTGCCGGCTGCCAGCGAGTATGCGTACACAAGATTGGCTTTTGTTTTATGTTGAAGTATTTCCTAAGCATTTTCTAAGTAGTTTCTTTTACATTTCCATTCAAAAGTGCGAAATGTATGCTTCGAAGGCACTGCCCCCTGGCGAGCAAGTGTACAACTGCCGTGGCCTTGGTCGAATGGGGGCTTGTTCAAGTCATGGACTTTTGTTGAACCGTGGACTTGTGCGGGATATGCTGACATAGTACGGACCCATCAACCTCTGATGATTCCAGAGTGATCTCGAAGATATCTTTGGCTTCCCTTGCGTTTCATCCGGGTGCCAGGGCCTGTCCGCGTAGGCCCAAACCCCAAACCCCAAACCCCAAACCCCAAACCCCAAACCCCAAACCCCAAACCCCAAACCCCAAACCCCAAACCCCAAACCCCAAACCCCAAACCCCCAACCCCAAACCCCAAACCCCACACCCCAAACCCCAAACCCCAAACCCCAAACCCCAAACCCCAAACCCCAAACCCCAAACCCCAAACCCCAAACCCCAAACCCCAAACCCCAAACCCCAAACCCCAAACCCCAAACCCCAAACCCCAAACCCCAAACCCCAAACCCTAAACCCTAAACCCTAAACCCTAAACCCTAAACCCTAAACCCTAGCCCTAAACCCTAAACCCGTAGGCCCCCTTATGATCTTCCACAGGCTCGGAGTGCGACTACTTCGAATGCAAGAGCGACGGCCTCAGTGGCAGACCCATGCCGTAAGGGTTCATGTGGGTAGTTCTCGGATCCTTTTTTAACGGGTGCTGCCGAATAATGGGTTCCCAAAAAAGGACCCTAATTTAGAAAATTACAAAATCACCCATGTACCCCAAGAGTATATATACCTCGGCCCCAAATGTACAGGATGTGTTTATAGCCTATGGGTGGAGCCCAAAGCTTTGCGTTTCACGCCCTTTTGTCAAGAAGGTGATGTCTCTGCAACCCCATGAAGCCCACAAATCCTACTATACGGACCCCATTAAAGATCAATAAGCGTAAATCAAAAACATAAATAAATATTAAAACATATATATATATATTATATATATATATATACATACATACATATGTACTTTGTAGTTATGTACTTATGTACACAAAACTGTGAAAGCCCCTTGCCCTACAAGCCCTATATGAGCCCGAAGCACCAAGCCGGAGGTTGCCGCGCCAGGGGTGCCTGAGAGACGGCGATGAAGGGATGGGATCTATTTGTCCATTTAGGGTTTAGGGTTTAGGGTTTAGGGCTTCAGGAGTGTGCGGCGCGGTGCCTGCATCGCGTTTCACGTGGCCTTGCCGCAGGATTGTTTCTCTTGTGGTGACTGTATTGTTTTATCTTGTGCCATAGTATTGATGATATTTTTAGTTATGACATCGTTTTTTACAGGCCGGGAAATTCACCCTCCCGTTCCCACTCCCACCCACATCTCTGACTTGTTAGGTAAAGCGAATATATCAACCTAGAAAAAAGTATTTTACTTTTGCTACATATTCTGAGTTCTCTTATAACAATAAACGTATGAGTTCGTGCCACAGGTTTCTCAGAGACCTGCCGCGAGGCCATTACCCAGGTGTCATCCAGTGACCCTGCAGTCCATCTCGAGGGCTTCTCAAGCCCGGTCGCATGGGCCCAGGACCCACAGGGTGTGTAGGATGCTAGGGTTTAGGGTTTAGGGTTTGGGGTTTGGGGTTTAGGGTTTAGGGTTTAGGGTTTAGGGTTTAGGGTCCATCGATGCTCTGGGCAGCTTTCGCTTTGCGTGCGGGAGCTCTGGGAGAGATAGGCGGCATGTACAGCTTCGCGAGGCCTTCTCTGAGGCTGCCTGCAGAACAAATTCCGAGGACCCACTTGGAGGTTCATGGTACTTGATAACCCATTCTTTAGGATATTAGTACCCCCTCGTATAATCCCTTTTAAGGACTGACCCTGAAACCTCAAGCCCTGGGCGCCTCGCAGGTTTCCGGCACGCCGCCATTGGAGCGCGCGTTCCATTCCTTCGACCTGATCGGCATGGTGCCCAGTTTTGTGGGGATCCATTTGCCCTTGGGATACGTTTTGGCTAAAATCCCCCCCATCTTAAGTGTCAGTCATGTTTTTTCGGTTGGGAAATCGTTTTGTTATGTTTCCGAGAGTGTGAAGAAGCACCTTTCCCAGTCCCCATGCCCATAGGCTTCCTAAGAGGTGCCCACCTCACGAGTGACCCCATCTAGAGATGAATCGTTTGTCACTTCGGGCCGTGAGCCGTGCAGAATTGGAGGGACTGTCGGGCTGGGTCCAGGGTTAGGTCCGATGATCTACACGCAGCTCGTAGTCACCTTGGCCTTTTGTGGGACAATCAATCGCACTGGTGCAAGTACATCCGTGTTCCAGTATATAAATACAGTAAGGCCGCGGTTCGTGTAGGTTCGTTTCGGTTTCCGCTACATACTCTGGAACGGTTCCGGTTCAGGCGGTTCGCTGCGGCTTGCGGTTCGGTTCGGTTCGGTTCGGGTCTCCCCCCACCCCCCCTCCATCCAGCCTCCATCCAGCCCAGCCCCCCTCCAGCCCAGCCATCCAGCCCCCCTCCATCCAGCCCAGCCCAGCCCACCCCAGCCCCTCCATCCAGGGGCTAAGCTGGATGGAGGCGGGCTTGGGGTTGGATGGAGGGGGCTGGATGGAGGGGGGGCTGGGTTGCATTGGGGGGGCTTGGGGGCTTGGAGGGGGGGGTGGGCTGGGGGCTTGGGGGGGGCTGGGGCGGTTGGGCTGGATGGAGGGGGGCTGGGCTGGATGGAGGGGGCTGGGCTTGGGCTGGATGGAGGCTGGATGGGGGATGGAGGGGGGCTTGGAGGGGGGGCTGAGCTAGATTGGATGGAGGGGGCTGGGCTGGATGGGGGGCTGGGCTGGATGGAGGGGGGCTGGGCAGGCCTTGGCTTGAGGTTCGGTTCCATGGCGGTTCGTGTTTGTCTCGGTTTCGGCGGTTCACGGTTCACACGGTTCCTTTGCGCGTGCGGTTCTTGGCGGTTCGGTTCCGGTTTGCGGTTCGGTTCGCGGCTTTCCTGTAAATAGCCTCTGTCACATTCTGCGAGCCAGCAAGTACATGTTTTGTTTGAGCTTGTACCGGCAATCCAGAAATACCGAGGCAAGTGGGTCTTCTGCTTTGCTGGCTCCAGCCAGACCAGGCGTGGTGGTATGTTTGCATCGCTCCGTGCATCCGACTTGTCCTGAAATGGGATGGCACCCCTTCCCCCCTTAAACCATAAACCCTAAACCCTAAACCCCAAACCCTAAATCCTAAACCCTAAACCCTAACCTGGCTATACTCCGATTGTTGACGATCGCCTGCCCCACGCTGCAGCATCAGCGACTTGTACATCCTCGACATGCCGAACATGAGATGGGCACGGCCCTTGTACGAGGGCCAGGCAGGGCAGCGGGTGAGCAACACTATACTTTAGGGATTAGGGAGCCGGGTTTAGGGTTTAGGGTTTAGGGTTTAGGGTTTTGGGCTTTGGGTTTTGGGTTTTGGGTTTTGGGTTTAGTTGTGAGGACCTCGTTCTTCCCTCGTGTTTCGGTTGTCACAGGGACCGTCCAGCATCTCCCGAGTGGTCTGGGACTTTGTTTTAATGGGGCACTTTTGCATGTGCCGCCCTCGCGTGAGGGTTGTTCACGTAAGCCCAGATTGAATCGTCCACGTAGCGTAAACCAAGTTGAGTCTTTCACGATCTTGCAGATTTCTTCACGGGTACTCTCTGCAGTGTTCAGAGTTCAACCATAACCATGCAGCACTCCCCTGTGCAAAGCTTAGGATTTAGGATTAGCGGTGACTCTAACCCTTGCGGACCTGCCAGCCGGCACGCAACAGGTGAATGCCAGAGCACATGCCTCCTCCGTTCTCCATGACAAGCTCATCGTTTTTGGTGGCGTGAGAGACAAGGTGGGACTCCTCAAAATTCCTCTTGGCAGCCCAGTGGTGCCCCTTCTTTTTTCTCCTTTTTTGGTTCTAGGTTCCCTTAGAAAGTAACCAGCCTCAAATCGGGCAGCCTTGTATACTGTAATATAGTTACTGGGCTACCAAGGCTGGTGAGGCCCTGAACCCCATGCTTCGCTCCAAGAAGAGTCCTGAATCTCTGACCTAAGCAACCACGCCAAAGCCAAAGCCCTAAGGCCTAAAAGCCCTGAAGACCCTCGAACCCTAATTGGATTCCTAAACGCCCTTTAGTTGCTCAACCCCTAATCCGGATCCTCGCAGATCACACAAACCTCCAAGAACGGCCCGCCGGATGTCGAGCGCGGCGGCCAAGGGGTTCCACACCACATCGTCGTTGGACGTAGCCCTGTTGGTTGCTTTTGGCTTTTTCGTTTTCTGAGGGACCATTGTTGGGTACAAGTAGGCTCTGCGAACAGCTGAGCGCGGGCTGCATTCCGTAATCTGACATGAGAGACAGATTCTTTCAGAAATTCAAGGCTGCTTTGGCAGCTCTGCTTTCATGATTCGGAGCTTGAATGTTGGTGTCGGGGTTCATGGTGCCTGCCAACCTTCTTAGTTGAGGAATATGCCCTCAGCAAGAATGCGATTCCTCAACTTAGGGCTGCGTGATCGTCCCACTCTCGTAGAACGTATTCCCACTATCAACGACCAACAGTATTGAATATACATACATGTACATATTTCCTCATGTGCTTTCATAGCCCTTTATTCAAGCACACACATACATTTCTGTAGAGAGAGTTTTTCAGAAATACATGCATACATTGAGATATATTATATGCATGTGTATACGAATATATATATATATATATATATATTTTTATTTATATTTATATTTATTTATTTATGCATATGTATACATATATATGTCTAGAGAATATTTCAACCTTGAAGACGTCGCAGTCGATTTGCAGCACGTGGCCACCTGAGCAATGAAGGCCACACATCTCGAAGAAGCTCTTCTTCTTGAATGTGCTCGAGGCAAACCCAAATTGAACAACAAGCCACCCAAAGCCTAAGCCTACAGGCCATAACCTAACGCCACAAGCCCTAAACGCCCTAAATCTTGAGATCCTAAATCAGCAGAGCCTCGATCCCTTGGGCCACAGAAGCCTCCAAGACTGCGTGTATTCTATGAGATAGGAGGTTGTAGGGTTGAGGGCCTAGGGGTGATGGGTTTAGGGCTGTGAACACAGAAGCCCCAGCAAGCTTTCCCCCTGCCCAAGCGCGAAGCGCCTCATGGCCACCAAGCCGTGCATTTCAGGCTCAAGCCTTTCTGGGGTATCCCCATCCCTGGACTTTGTGAACCGGTAGCTTACCCCTCCCTGTCCGGATGTCTCTGATTCAGCCGGCGTCGGCCGTGCTTGGGCCGATCTCCCTCACAGCCGCTGAGCCAGGGTTCAGAGCTATGCGAGGTGTGGGGGGTGTGTCGGTATGAAGACAAGTGCCTATATGCATACACACATGCGCATATGTATCCATATATACATATACACACATACATATACGCACATACACGCATGTACGTATATGCATGCATACATACATATATATATATATAATACACGCACAATCTGCGTGCATGTGTCTTCATGTTTCAGCGTCCGCCTCTGCAGGAAGCAGCAGCGCCGCCAAATAGCTAGGATTTCCCTTGGTACCTTTGCGGGCAGGATTCCTTGTAAACAGGAACTCCCAACCCCCAACCCGAAGCCCTAAGCCCCAAGCCCCAGTTTTTCCCTAAACCCTTTACACTCTAAATAAACCCTAAACCCGACAGACTGAACTTAGCCATAAACCAAAACCCTTGGAACAGCCCCCAGCTGCCAAGGCACTGGTCGGCTTTCTCGTCCTTGCGCATTTGGCCTTCTGCATCTTCGACGCTGGGATTTAGATTTTGTAGATAGCAGATTTAGGGTTTAGGGTGTAGGGTTTAGTGTTTAGGGTTTAGGGTTTAGGGTTTAGGCTGTGTTTGTGTAGGAGCTTGTTCGTTTAGAGTTTAGACCTTTCTGTAGATTAGTGCGCGTAAATACATTCTAAATGTAATCGCTTCTAAAACATAGTGATCTAATTTGAGCTATACAGAGAGTTATGTTTTGCTTCTATGCGGGTTCTACATGATAACCGGTATTTCTTCAGGCCCCTGCAGTAGAGTCAGCACGCTGGAGACTCTCAGTAGGTCGGTTGCCATGCCACGGCAACCAGCTCAGTGGCCTGTTGTACGGGTTGCCAAAACAGACATCTCCTCTGGCATTCTCTCTGAGGGTGAAACTCTGTCCACACCTTTTTGAAATAGGCATTTCCCAAAACTAGGGGTACCCCTTTTGTACCCCAATAGAGTTGAATCCCCTTAAAGGGACCCCAAAACAGGGTACTGTGCGAAACCCTGTTGTCCTAAAGAGTATGAACCATGCCGCAGATGCTGGCGAGCGTCAGATCCGACCAGAGCATGACGATTGGACACGTGGAGGTGTCCAACACGCTTCAGCGCCTCGACCTTGCACCCTGCAACGAGCCTCAAACTCCTAAACCCTAAAACCTTGTAGACCCTAGACCCTAAACCCTAAACCCTAAACCCTAAACCCTAAACCCTAAACCTGCCCTCTAGAAGGCCCAAGGCCGAGCCCAAAAGCCTTCCTCCTGTTGAATGAGGCCAATACAGGAGCCGAAATTGTTTTCTACAAATGTAGCGTCCGCTACGCGAGATACCTACTCTGCTTGAAGAGTTCCACCAGGAAGTCCCCAAGCCATGTCAGAGTCTCCGTAAGCTACATCTCCTTCCGCTTCCCCCAATCCTTGCTCTTCCCCCTGAATGCATAGGGATCTCTGTTGTTTTTAATCCGCCGGGGCCTGGGTTAGATTCTGCGTTCGAAAGGTTTGTGTGTGTGTGTGTGTGTTGGGGAGGGGGCTTACGCAGAGATGAATATCCCCAACTTGGGTCGTTAGGGTACTTGGGGTTTTGCAGGTGTAGGTGCTCTTCCTCATAGCTACTGACATCAGAGGCTTGGTAGGACCTTGGGGTTTTTTGTGGGCTTTTGAGGCCACACTACGGAGGCCTGTGGTGCAACTACTAACTAATTCTGCCAGCTTCGATTTCAGACTACGGACCATGAAAGGGAATTGCGATGCGAACATGCTTCATCATAACTAGCTGCCTTGGGCTCAGGGTTTAAGCTTAGAAGTCGGGCTTTTGGGTTTAGGGTTTGGGGTTGATAAACTTTCTGTCACAGCTGCTCTGAGCCTTAGGATGGCACCCTGCGCCCGAGAGCCTCAGCCCTATAGGCCCTAATAAAGGAGTGGAAATAATTAGTAACAATATTCCCTTAGGGTCCCTGTGTAAGTACACTATACTGGCACCCCAAAACCCCTATTCTAATTCTGAAACCCTTAGGGTTTCTTGTAAGTATACTATAAGAACCCCCCCCCCCCAAAAAAAAAAAAAAAAAAACGCGCTATTCTAATTCTGAAGGCCCCTGTGTAACATCTCAGGTGTGCCTTCGGAGCCTTCTGTCTCATCGGCATTCCAATCACCATCCATGCATTCATTGGAACTGTCTTCAGAGCTCCAGGCGTGGGTGACGTGCTTGTTTGGGGCCGAGGGATACAGCTCATAGGCCCGGGCGGCCTTGATTCAATGTTGCTTCATCACCGCAGTTCCATGGGTATGGAGACACTATCCCTTGCAGCTGTGGACATAGTCTACTGCACCAGACGAACAGTGTAGCCGCAACATGCAGACATATGGAGATGGGAAGATGGCTCGATGTGTTCATGCACTGCAGTCCGCGCAGCCTACTGAACTGCAAGAATGCACCCACTGCCAGGCCACCTGTACTCCTACCTTTGGTGCCCTGACTCTGTTCAGTCGAGTTTTCTTGGGGTAGTCGGTCACTTGCTGTGTTCATGGGTCGGGTTCTTCCACATTCCCTTTTTCTGCGGGCTTATTCTTTTTTGCAATCAACCAGAAAGGGGCCCCCTCGTCATCTCAGTTCATTTTAAGGTTGGGCAACCTAGTGTCTTGAAGACGAAATCACCCTAAAGTCGGTTTGAGGTATAGGGCTTTTACCATGAATTAGTTACTATGTCTGGAGTCCAGAGACTTTCTCTTCCTAGAGGGTCGTCACATGGGGTTGCCGCATGTTCTGGGTCTCGTTGTCTTGGGGTTGTTTTTGAGGATTTTGAGATGGACTCTGCTCTTTTTGGGGGGGTTATCAATGGGGACACTCGTCTTAAGAATAGGTGAGCTCCACAGTTGGTTGCTCCAAGCAGTGCTTAATCAATTAACCCAATGAGCCGGACCCGCACCGTGGGCCCTGCCATAAAACCCTGAACCCTAAACCCGAAACCCTTAATGTCACTGATTCTGGGGGCTTCTTTGTGGGAGCCTCACCCGGCGAACTCCTGAAGGAGTGCCCCCATTCCATTGTCGCGACTCGCGACCCCAGGGTTTAGGGAAAAAGCTGCTGGCAACGTTGTTTTGAACTCAGCTGCCGCACCTGGACCTACCTGTACCTCATGCACGTATGAAGCTTCATACTCCCTCAGCCCGAAACCTAGCAAGGTATCAGTTCCTGACCCTCGTGGCGGTTGGCGGGTTTTGTCTTTCCCTGGCGCTGAACCAGAAGAGCTGCTTCACGCGAGAAGGGAAGAATGGGGACCTTGCGACCTTGGTCTGTGTCTTGGACCCGTTCAGGGGGCTTGGGGGGTGCAGAGTGGGGGGGAATCAAGTTTTTGGAGTTTAAGCTAAGGCTCGGTCCCAGCTTTTTGTCTAGGCAGGTTGCTTCGAAAAGAGAGCCGTGGCAGCTAGGGTGAGTCCTTACGAAGGAGCTTGTGGTTACAAGTTCCCCATCAACGGAACGCTGACTCGTGAAACCGGGTTGGGGGTTGTTCGAAAGTTGTTAGGGTCCTCTACAGATACCTCATGGCAAGTTTGGGGAGGGGTATTTTGAAGAGCTACCGCCGTATTCATGTATATTCTCTTGGTGGTGCTTTTCAGAGATGGTTCCGAAAAGCGTTATGAGGGCCCAAAGAGGTTCTTGGTAGCCCAGCGGTACCCTTTTGCCCTTTTGTTGGTTCTAGATTCTTAGAGTACCCTGATTGGAATATGGCTGGGAGCACAAGCGAATGTGTGTGTTTAGGTTTTGAGCTCGTGTCTTGAGGCTTTTTGTAGGGTGTTGCTACTTTGGCATCTACAAGGTGTTGGCACGAAGCTGTAACCTGCTTGCCGGAGCAAGCAGATGCGGCAAAAGCTGACCACTTGTGAGGGTGGGGAGTGTCTCGAGGCGGCCTGCCCAACATCACCAGCATGGTCTTCCTAGCGGTCTTCCTCCTGAGCATGAGCACGGCCATGTGCTCCCAGGGCCCATTCCGGCTTAGCCCGAGATGTGAGTGTTGATCTACAGTGATCTACATGATGGGCGATTTGCGGTACCAAAGCTACGTGAGCAAGTACTGCCCAAACTGAAAGTGCCTATAATTTAGATTAACCCCGGCGTAGCAGTAGCATCTTTACTTGAGGGTGACGTGGCAGGTACTTTGTTTGGTCCCTCAGCGAGAACTTCAAGAGGCGGCTGGAGACAGACCTCTTCCGATATCAGGACTCCAAGAGCAAGGGTCGTGGAAAGATTCGTCGAAAGCTTCTCATGGGCCCCTGTTGATAACCTATATTGTAGGTCTTTGGGCTTTAGGGTTTAGGGTGTATGGTAAGTTTTTGGCGTTTAGGGTTTATGGTGTATAGTAGGTCTTTGGGCTTAAACCCCAAGAATCCAGTTTATCTACTGTTTGTAAAGGGTTTTGTGTAGGGCTTATAGGGCTTATGTAGGGTTTATGGGGCTTATAGGGTTTATAGGATTTTGGTTTATAGGGTTTAGTCTCATGAACCCCTACGATTCTCACCTCCACTCATAGCTCGCAGCAGAGCCTTCAGAATCCCCGGAGCCTGGAGGAAATCCGCTAAACCCTCACAAGTCCTCGACTCTAAGCCCTAAACCTCCGAAGGCCTAAAGACGAAAGCACCAAGAAATCTCTACGACCTGCACCCTAAACCCTAAACCCTAAGCCCTCAAACCTGGGTTCTAGATCCAACGGAACCTGCTTGGAGGTTCCATGGTACTGGTACTCATGTGCACAATCCAAAGCGTACTGAAACCCACTTATACCCTAGTATGGTTATGATTGGGCTACATGCAGTTAAGCCCTAAACCCGAAACCCTAAACCACGAACCTCCAAGAACCTGCAAGGAGCCCTTGCAGCTGAAGGCGCAAATGGGCGAGGCCGGGACTGTTTGGGGCGTTGAACCCCCAAAGCCCCCGAAGGGTTTAGGGTTTAGGGTTCAGGGTTTAGGGTTTAGGGTCTAGGGTCTAGTGTCTAGGGTCTAGGGTTTAGGATTTTGGCTGCTACAGGGTTTCAAGGACCCCAAAAACACCCTCAACCTAAAACCCCCTTATGTCACTCCCCAGAAGCTTTCTAGCTTGGGATGTGCCCCCTTATACTAACAGTCCTTAACAGGGTCTATAGTACCCTGTTAGAGTCCCTATGAAGGAGCTGTTCGTATAAAGGCGGGGAACATCCCAATTCCAGCTGTTGAAGGAGGCTGCGGCGCAGGCCGCGAGGGACGCCCGGGCGGCAGCTGCAGCGGCACCTCTGCCGACAACGAATGGGGGCCTCTTTGGGGGGGGGGGGGGGGGGCTCTTGGGGTTCGGGCTTTTACTTTGTGTTTTTGTAGGATGTAAGGGTTTATAGGGGTTAAGGGTTTATAGGCGCGTGTGTTCTTGCCAAGGAATCTGCATGCGAGAACTCAGCATCCTACACCTTGGGGGTAAAATCCTAAACCCAAAAAACCTTAAACCCCTAAAACCCAAAACCCCAACACCCAATACCCCACTAGGATCTAAACAACCCTAGAACCCCTTTAAACCCCTAAACCCTTAAACTCCTGAAACCCAAAAACCCTAAAACCCTAAAGCCCTAAAACCCTAAAACCCTAAGCCCCCTTAACACCCCCTAAAACCCCGAACCCCCCCCCCCTCAAGACCCTCAATGAAAACCATAAACCCCGAAAACCCCTGAAACCCAAACCTCCCTCAACAACCCCTGAAGCCCTAAACCCTAACCGCTTAAAACCCATAAAAAAACTTCAACCCCTAAAACCCCTAAACTCTTAACCCCTACACCCGCTTAAAAGCCCCTAAAGCCAGATTTCAGGCCCCAAACCCTAAACCCTAAACCCTAAACCCTAAACCCAAAACCCCCTTCAAACACTCGAAAAGCCCCTAAAACCAGACACCAGGCCCATCAGATGTCCGTGCCCGGGGCGCTCTGGAGCCCCTCAGCTCTCTGAGTCTTTGGAACCTGCAGATGCCACCGCGGAAAAGAGGTTTCGGGTTTATTAGGGGTTTAGGGGTTTTGGGATTTTTGGGTTTTGGGGTTTTGGGGTTTTGGGGTTTTGGGGTTTTGGGGTTTTGGGGTTTTGGGGTTTTGGGGTTTTGGGGTTTTGGGGTTTTGGGGTTTTGGGGTTTTTGGGGTTTTGGGGTTGAGGGTTTAGGGTTGAGGGTTAGGATTTAGGGTATAGAGGCGTTAATGGTCCAAGCATGCCCTGTTTAGGTACATGGACAAACATCCCCCAATTGGACCTTGCACCCCAAGACACGCCGCAAGCCCTGTGGCCAAGAAACGCCCTGTGATCTCCGACAGCTTGGGCTGTTCCCCCTTGACTAGCAGTCCTTAAAAGGCATCTTTGTACCCCTTTATTCTAGCACCCTAAACCCTAAACCCTTAACCCCTATTAAGGACTGTTATTTTAAGGGTGAACAAGAGTTTGCAGATTGGGTGGGTATAGGGGTTTTCTGGTTGGAGTCTTCGGGTTCCAGCGCTGCAAGGTTAGAGGCTTAGCCCTCAACCCCAAGCCGTTCCGGTTACCAGGGCTCATACGCTCTTCCTAAACCCTAAACCCTAAACCCTAAACCCTAAACCCTAAACCCTAAACCCTAAGCCCTCCCCTTTACTGCATGTCGCAGGTCAAAGGCGGCGTCTCCGAGGGCGACTTCAAGTTTAAGCTCGTTACCGTGGGAGACTCCGGGGTGCGCCAGACGCGTTACTTTAGGAGGGTTTAGGGTTTAGGGCTAGGGTTTAGGGTTTAGGGGTTAGGATGTAGGGTTCAGGGTTTAGGGTTCCCTCATTGGGTTTAAGAGGATCAGAATTCAGAATTTTGTTCAGAGGGTTTTAAGGGCTGTCCGAGTTTAGTTCTGCGATTGCAGCCTGTAGGGTTTACCCAGACTCGTGAATTTAGAGGTCAATCCCTTCGGGCTAAGGGCCTAGGGTTAAGGTTTTATAGGGTTTCAGGGTTATAGGGATACAGGCTGCAGGATGTCATAGGGTTTGACGGTTATGGGGTTACATGGTTTTAGGCTGACAGGGTTAAAGGGTTGAAGGGCTTCGGGTAGCAGGGCTTAGGGTTAGGATTGCAGGGTTTAGGTTTCGGTTTTGTTTTGTTTGGGTGAGGTCTAGGATTTTCGAGTTTCGAGCTTACGGCGTGGGCTGGAGGTTCTGTCTTAGGGCTTCTTCTTCTTCCGGGTTTAGGACTGCAGGTATGGGTGGTGGGTTTAGGTGCATTTGAAGGTGTCTATGCTCTATGCTTCACGCCTGTCGCTATAGGTTCAGGGTCCTGGGTTTCAGACAAGGAGTTTCAGGCTGGTGCTTTTCTCGCGCTTCTTCGATAAAATCGATCTAAGGTTGTAAAATCGGTTTGATGTCTATACAGAACTAGGTGCCTCGCATGTGCACGGAGCGGCTGGGGTGTTTTTTGCCTTGCTAGTGTGTGCAAGGGCTTTCGATGCGAGTTGAAAGTCCAAGGCGAGAACGAGAGAGGAAGAGAGAGCGAGAACGCAAGCGAGAGTTCCATTAATTAGTTTAGGCTGAGAAATTTGCAGCACAGCCGTAACCGATCGCAACCGCAACTTGATGGTGCCAGGTTGGAAAGTCCTGCCTTTTGACTCGATTTGTGCAGGACACGGGCCGGAGTTGCCCCTAAAGGTCTCAACTTGTGCGGACCTTGAGAGTTAGCGAGGGCGTCCGGATGCTGAAACATGGTTTCTTCCTTCCATCCATCACACATACAGCTCAAGCAGGGTCCAGGTGTGTAGCTTGTGCAGTGAGTGTAGCTTGTGCAGTGACTGCTCGATGGCATGCAGGCCATACAACTGTGAGAAACTCCCAGCCGGGCATGTGCACACTTACCAGGATCAAAGCAGCGAAGTTTCACCTGGCCCTGAAAGGACTACTACTCCGACTGTCACGTGTCGACCATTGGCGTGGACTTCAAGACAGTCAGCACCCCACATTGCCAGTTCAGAACCGTGCTTTTCACTCCCTAATCGAATGTCGAGTTCCATGCGCCACGGGTAGCTCCTGCACCGAGAAGAATCAGCAGAGCGCCGGGCAGGCATAGATTCATGACTGGTTTTGCATGGATGCAAACCCGTCCCAAGTGTCCCCAGCACCGAAGCAAGGCACGACCGAAGCTTTCACATATCCGACACGACAGATTTCCACAAAAAGCCTAAGCCCTAACCCGTAAACCCCAATACTTTCCATAAGAGAGAGAGAGAGAGAGAGAGCTCTTTGCTCCCCCAAGGTCGTCACGATGGTCAAGGGAAGGTTGGTGAAGCTTCAGCTTTGGGACACAGCCGGGCAGGAGCGATGAGGGCCTTTACAATCAGGCTTAGTCAAGAGTATGGAGGTTGGACCCAGAGTAGGCCCGTATTCCCTTTTTTAGGGTTGGGGTTCCCTTTGTAAAAGGGCACCCTTTTCGCTATCAGAACGGCTTGTCCTTACATAGTTTTGCGTGTAGCCATAGAGTGGAGGTGAGAAAGGTTTGCCTGCAGCACTACCAGAGTCAGCTGCAGATTTGTTTCGGGATGGCACAGGTGATGTCAGGATGAAGGGGCTTAGCTCCCAATGCGCAACACGAGCTTTCCATGCACGATGTTGTTCAGGAGCGCTTTTCCGTAGTCACCGGCAACTACTACAGAAACTCAGACGGTCGCGGGCTCAGTGTGCCATGAGCCTTATACGGAAGTGCTTTGAAGGCTTCTGAGTGCCTGGACTTGGGGTTGCAACCCAGCGGCTCCCAAGTTGTGTACTTAAAGACCAATCCGGTTCAGGGTTCTGGGTTCAGGGTTTAGGGTTTAGGGATTAGGGATTAGGGATTAGGGTTTAGGGTTTAGGGTTTAGGGTTTGGGCTTAGGGATTCACAGTCAGATGTTGAAGAGTATTCCTTTGACGCCGGGGCACTGGCGTCTCTGGAGAATGTGTGGGTGATTCGTATACTGTTCTGACGGTCAGCCTGCAAGGGAAGATAAAGCAGCCGCTCACTGCTCGCAGATGTTGTGGATCGTGGCATCAGGCTACAAAACCCCCATTGCCCTTGTGCGAAGCGCTCTCAGCCAAACAACCGGCAGAGGCGAAACGAAGTGACCACGGGTTTAGGGTTTAGAGTTTATTGGTTTCGGGTTTGGGTATGCAACTCCCGAGCACCACTGAGGCTTCATTTTCGTCTATGATGCCACGAGTCGCGTCGCGAGCTTTGCTGCTCCCATTGTGGAGGATGCGATTCAGGGTTCCGGGTGTACTTTCAAAAGAGGGTATAGGGTTTAGGGTTTAGGGTTTAGGGAAGGTTACCCTACTTCTAACCCTACTCTTCGCCTGGAATCTTGGAGCAGCTCATGTCATGGACATGGGTATAGTTACATAAGGACCTTAAACGCTTGACCACTTATTCTATCTATATCCTTTGTTGACGTCAGCTAGAGCAATTGTCCAGCCTCCCAAAAGTGTAGCTAGTTCTCCACCGGGAGGTAAGGAATGTCCCTGGAATGCTGAACCCTTAAACCCTAAACCCTGAACGACAAATCCTAAACCCTAAACGCCAAACACCCTGAACAGCTCCTTAAGAGCTGGTATTTACCCAACGAGCCTCCCAGCAAGTTCCCAAGTCCCCAAGTTGTTGGGCTTGGGCTCTTTCAGAGTCAATGCATTTTGTTTTTTGCCGTTCGCGTACTCATCGTATTGCATTTTGTATTCCATTCTTTTTTTTGGGTGGGGTGGGGGGGGCGGGGCGTTGTGGCCCAGAGCAGTGGGCAACTGCCGCTCACAATGTGGCTGGCTCCAGACTCTTGCGGCTAGTGTCGCCGAAGGCGCTCTAGAGTCGCGCTCCGCGTACCCGGCGCAAGTATGCCGACCGGGTGTTTCTCGAGAAGCAAGAACCTAAACCCTAAGCCCTCAACCCTAAACCCTTCATTGCCAGGTCAACATACTCAGCTTCTACTCTTGAGCTCCTGACCCCGGATTCTGAGCCCTCTGCACCTCAGCATCCACATGGGGTACCCCGAACCCAAGGAATATCGTAAGGATCCCTCTTAGCTCGAAGCCCTACGAACCCTTTCTAAAATCCCTTAAGCCCTAAAAACCCTAAACCCCAAATTATATTTTAAGCACTAGACCCCCTACGTATACATATATCTATATACATGTACATACATCTATGTACATATATATATATGTATGTTCTATGTATAGCATGAGAGTAGAGAGTGTAGTTCGTCCGTGGTATCCCATGGCATGAAGCCATGCCGGAGTGGTGCGAGGCGGAAGGCACAGGGCTCTGCGATGCAGCGCATTTTTTGGGAGGTTTGGGGTTAGGGTTTCGGGTTTAGGATTTAGGGTTTAGGGTTCAGAGTTGAGGGTTAAGTTATGAGTTGAGGGTTTAGGGTTTAGGGTTTGGGTTTTAGGGTTTAGGGTTTAGAGGTGAGGGTTTAGGGTTGTGAGGGTTTAGAGTTCAGGGCTTACGGCTTCGGATGTGGGAGTTTACTATTGGAGCCAAACCCCTTTGGGATGGTGTTTTTGTTGAGGGGGGAGGGTCTACCGCCTCAAACGCAGGGTACTGGCAGAGCCGAACAAACCGGTGCTTCGGGATTGATTATCGTTATTTTTAGACCTAAAACCACAAAGAGATCGTTCTTGAAACCTCACTGGCATGAACTATATGAGAAGGTATTCACCAAAGACAGAATGTATCATGAGAAACCTAATACTAACGACGGTGCTTAACTCTAGTGCAGGTCCAGAAACACCAGCATGAATCGGGTTTTAGATTTCAGCTTTGCGGTGAGATGCTGAGGGCGGGTGTTCTCGGGTGCCCAAGAACAAGGATTTCGGAGCTTTGGGACTACAATAATACAGAGGTCGGAAGAACTACGAACAGTATTCCCTTGGTCCTTCTATAGTTCTACGATAACAACCTCCCCAAAACCCAATTCTGATTCTTTACCCCTTAAGAAAGGAAGGGACAGTGAATCATTCCAGGATCCCCGTCTACATGTAGTTGAGGTCTGTTGAATTTCCCGGCCTGCTACTACCCCTGCAAGATGTTAGGGCCAGGGTTTAGGGTTTCGGGTTTAGGGTGTTGGGTGTGGGGTTTAGGGTTTAGGGTTTAGGGTTTAGGGTTTAGGGTTTAGGGAGTTTAGGGTTTAGGGTTAGGGTTCAGGGTTTAGGGTTTAGGCGGTTTAGGGAATGTTTTCGGAGGCCCATCCCGCGAAACTGTCGGAAGGCAATTTGACAGCAGACACCGTCAATGTGCGTGATGAGCTTTGCCGGGTGCCGAGGCCTCAGGCACTTTAGAGGAAGCTTCATGAACTTGTCAACATGCAGTGTCTCAGGGTTTAGGGTTTAGGGTTTAGCCCAATGCCGAAATTACCCTCAGCCGGGGATCATGTGTCGGTACTGTTCAGTCCACAGGCTGAATGGAGCACCACGGAAGACCCCAAACGCTAAACCCCAAACCCTAAACCCCAAACCCTAAACCCTAAACCCTAAGCCCCAAACCCTAAACCCGAGGAATGTAGGTGACTCTCTTAGCTCCAGCGGCTGCGCATCGTACCAAGGCTCCGAGATCGGGGGGGCGGAAGCCTCCTCCGCGGTTGGAGGCCTGGTGGCAGCCGGTGTTGCCTGTATGGGGTTCAGGGTTCAGGGTTTAGGGTTTAGGGTTTCGGGTTTAGGGGTTAGGGGTTAGGGGTTAATTAGGGGTTAGGGGTTAGGGGTAGCGTAGGGAAGCTCTTTGGAAATAAGGGGGCTCCGAGTTTGCAGGGTAAGTGCCCTTGTGAGCAGGAACGAACTCGACCCGGATTTCCTGTTGAGCGTGTCGTACAAGGCGACGGGAAATGCTGCAGTGAAATTCTTCCCTGGTGGCTGAAACCACCGATCTTGACGAGTCTGCTGTATGTAGACTGTTCAAGGTGCAGACCGAATGGGTCCGAATGGAACTCCACATCATCCGAGAGACCTCTGTACTTTCTCAATCCCATGTGCTCAGGAGGTCGTCCGCGTGGCAGCATCCTTTGGTTTGCAGATGTCAGAGGACCTGAGCTTTGTTGATCAAGAGCTTTTGTTTTCTTGGGAGTGCGCACTCTTGATCGAGATGTAGCTGCTGCTAGATTTGGGTAGCAAGTCCAAGCAACCCACACTAAGAGCTGCGAACAAGCATTGGATTTGGGGATCAGTTGCTGCTTCTCTCGGCTAGCAATCATGGCATTGGGTGTGGTTCGGTCCAGCTTCGCAACCCATGCCGGTCCCATGAGCTGCAGACACAAGCTTCCTTCTGCCCACTACGCTTGCACTTAGCACAAGCAGCAGCAGTGAGTTGTGTTTGTTGCTGTAGTCCGATGCCTTCTTACCATTGTTGTACGGCATCGCCAAGACAAATCGTGTTCCAAGCAACGCAGCCACAAGGACGAGACCATTTGCTAGCACAGCTGACTGAAGGAAGCAAGAATCAGCGACGTAAATAGCGCCAGCAGGAATAGAGCACGTGAGCATTGCTGACAAAAGCTAGAGGTGCCACAAAAACAGACATCGGTTAATCCACCCAATCCACCCTCATTACCACACGAGACACGGAGATACACATCGACAAGCAAACAGCGACGCAACCACACGGACAGACAGCGCATATACGCATTGAGAAGCAACGTAGCAAAATCAATGTTCAAGCAAACACGTTATAATCAGGAAGGTATCGGCACATAATGCACAGGACGTGTTTGCTATGAACATAATGGAACAAACAGATACCATTTGGAAGGAACCGTGCTGGAACAAAGATGCACCCATATAATAAACACGCCTCGAATTTTCCACGACACTAAGATGCAGCACTCACGGCTGTTACTCAGCATTGCGGAGGATTCGGGATATTCAGTGTTCAGGGTCATGTTTAAGAGAATCCCAAAGGCAATCCGAGCTTTATTCATATGTTGCATTGAAACGTTGGTTTTTTGCGCTTGGATTCATGTTTGCGACACAGCCACCCGATTGCACGATTGTTTTCAGGATTCACGGCAGACGCAGTGATCTGCTTGTAGTGGATATAGCCCTCTTTTTCCCAAGCCCTTTAGAGCTGTAACCCTAAACCCTAGACCCTAAAGCCGAAACCCTAAACCCTCTGAAAGCTCCAAGCAAGGATGACATTCGGAGGTTCATTGATTCGATTAACAGTGCAGGGCTTAGCCCTGACTTCCGAGCCCGCTGACACTCCAAGAAGCAAAGGGGGGGGGGGCGGGGGGCAGGTTACCTTTCTGATAAGGAGTCTCGTACTTTGGGAGGTCTAGGCAAGGGGAGCCCTACTTTTGGGGAAGTGTCGAAGTAGGTTTGACTTGGGTTTCACCCCGCGCCAGCGCGCGCGCGTGCGCTGGTGAAGCGCACGCGCGAGCGCGTGCCTTGTGTGTCTTGTAAGAGTCTCTTTGCGGTTTTCTTTTGATGGTTTCCTGGCGCTTACCCAGGCGCTGGGATGCTCAGCGTGATGGACCTGCATCGCAGGGCGGGGGCTTTCATGCTCAGGTTCATGGGTACTTTGAACTTGGGGGGTACATTTGGAAAATTTTTGACAATGAGAATATTTGTTTACAAGCTATTACTTAGCCTTTTGAAGGCACTTCTAACCAGCTTTATGCACTACCCATGAACCTTGAAGTAGCATGGCACTGACGCCTGACGCCGGTGTACCCAGTACAGCTTTCAACCACATGTCCTGAACAAACTCCCACGCCCCGTTAAACCCTAGGCTCCAACCCGAAACCCTAAATCCAAACCCCTTAAACCCTTAAACTTGGGATGTTCCCCCTTATGCCAACAGTCCTAATAGGGATTGTAGTCCCCTATTTAAATCCCTTTCTATAAGGGGGAACATCCCAAACTGAAACCCTTAAACCCTTGTTAACCTTTCACACCCTTTAAACCCTTCAAACTCTTCAAACCCTTCAAACCCTTAAACCCTTAAAACCCTTTACAACCCTTAAAGACCCTGAAAATCCCTTAAAGCCCGTAAACCCTTAAAACCCTTGAGCCCCTAACACCCTGAAACCCTGAAAACCCTTAAAACCCTTGCACCCTTACACCAGTACACCGTTACACCCTTAAAACCCTTGAAACCTCCAAACCCCTTAGACCCTTAAAACCTCTTAAAACCCCATCAAAGCCCCTTAAAACCCCTTAAGCCATAAATTCCGGGAGCCACCCCCGCCCTGGGAAGACTGCCATCCTCGCCACCCGCTTCAAGCGCTGGGCAGCCAGCCAAGGCCCAGTGAGGCGCAGCCGCACCCTAAACCCTAAACCCTAAACCCTAAACCCTAAACCCTGAAACTAACTCAGAGCTTCTTGAGAGTGGCTCAGGGCTTGTCCTGAAGATTCAAGATTCAGAGTTTGGACTGTTGAGTTCAATGTTCACTCAGGGCTGAAGTGCAGCCTTGAATTTGGGCCTCGGGTTCAAGAAGGTTCTGGGGTTTAGGGTTTGGGGTTTGGGGTTTAGGGTTTAGGGTTTCTGTAGCAGCTCCCGGTGTGCTGTTTCCGTCACGTTCATGATTTTGAGACCCTGAGATCTTTCATCTGGGGGGGATCAATGCAACTCTGTACCAAGGCAACTCTTCTTCGGAGGAGACAACGTGGTGGCCCAGTTGGGAAAGGCTCGCCCTCTTGGCACGCAAAGATGCTTAGGGCGTGGGGTGACCCCATGGGCGCGAGTAGTGCCCAGCGCTTGCAAGAGCATCCTCACATAGACACGTCAACATTGTCGCAGAGTGTGTGCGTGTGTGTGCTAAGCAGAACCGGGCACCCTGCGTTGTCCTGAGTTCCGGGGATCCTAGGAATGAATGAGGGCCAACCTTCAGTGCCACCTAAGCAGTTACCCCAAAACTTCGAAGCCTTAAACCCCAAATCCCTAAATCCCTAACCCTAAACCCCACATGCCGAATCCCGAAATCCTAACCCCAACACCGAGAACCCCACAGTGCTATGGACAAGGTGGTTCCGCTGGCTGAATTCATGGCAGTGTGTCGCAGGCTCCTGCACCGCTGTGTGGTTTGGGGTTTAGGTTTAAGGGTTAAGGGTTTGGGGTTTGGGGTTTGGGGTTTAGGGTTTAGGGTTTAGGGTTTGGAGCTCCAGGGGGCTCCCGCCTCCCCAACTTGCCAAAGCCCCCCCCTCCCTCCCCCAAGCCGCCCCCTTGAAGCCCCCCCTAGCCCTAAACCCTTGAAGCCCCCTTGAAGACATCCCTTAAGCCCCCTTTCGCCGAAGGGTCTGGGGCCCAGCCGTTACACTTATACAAGGGTTTCGGGTTTGGGGTTGGAGTAGAGTCGAGGGGTTCGCATGCAGTTCAGTTCCGGATTCTTAGATCACGTCGGCTCTGGACAATTGCTGGCATGCTGCAGATTTGATATTGAAGCTTCTGGTTCGTAAATGACCCGTTGGGTGGGACAGAACGTGGTTTCCCTGTCACAGCATTCCATGTTCGACTCCTACGGCCAACACTAGACTAGCGCGTGGGGATGTGCGAGTTGGTAAAGCGTTCTCTAGGGTGTAAGGTCGAAGGAGATCAGATTGCTGCAATTCCATCGCAGTAGACTTCTCCCACCCGCGCCGAACTTGCAGCAATGACCCACAAAGTCAAGAGGATCGATGCGGTTTGTCCCGCTGTTTTAGGCTTCAGGCCAGGTTTTCAGGACATGGCCCTAAACCCTAAACCCGAAACCCTAAACCAGCAGATGCCCCCAAGGTATAGGAGTCCTCCCCCAAAAGCCAAAATATCACAAACAAAGACAGTACAGGGGCAAGCAACACCTGCATGTCATCCCAAGAATTGCCCCCAAAACCTTCAGCCTTGAACCCCAAACGCGAAACCCTTTAAATATCCCTAAACCCTAACTCTCACTCCTAAACCCTGATAACTTCCTAGGCCCTCACAGACTGAAGCATGGATGAGGACCGGCTTGGATGCCTCGGATCACGACTTCCTGGAGCTCTACGGCCCTTTGCCTCAGAACATCGGACTGGTTGTGGCTCCCAAAGTTCACAGAAGGCAACCCATGATGGGTTTGGGGTTTAGGGTTTGGGTTTCAGGGTTTAGGGCACGCGCAGACATGCAGGCATACATGCAACGTCTGCACCGTGCATGCACGCATACATGCAAGTAGAAATGCGTGGCAGGTATGCTATGTATGTCTCTTCTCTGTGGAGTCTAGCATAGGCACCCACAGCCACTGAGAACGACAAAAGCCTTCAGACGACATGGGGGTCTACAAAAACACGGGACCCCCTAATATATCGGCCCCAAAATAGTAACATTCCTTTATCATGAGAACCCCAACAAGGCACCCCTAACTTCGGAAAGCCCCATATGCCAGGTGTTTGTGATCCGACCGAGTCCGGCGTCCGGCCATTGGATCTGCTGCCCCTTGGCCACGAGTTAGCATCTCGATCGCCCCGAAATCCCAAACACCAAAAAAGCCCTAAACCCTAAACTACCCTAAACCCAAAAAAGTTCCTAAACCCTAAACCCTAAACCACCCTTGCCTGACCCTGGCCCCCCCCAGCCCCTGCTGTCCGCTCTTGAAACCCTTAGCCCCTTCACAGCCCAACTTCCTGCAGGTTCTTGGAGCCTGATCCGCAGGTAAAGGAGCAGGAGGACTGGCTGAGGGCCCAGAGAGCCCCCCAACAAAAGATCCCTTAGTTTAGGAAGATATCCTTAAACTACATAGGGATCGTTAGTATGATTTTAAGAGATTATTCCTTAGCTAAGACTCAGGGTGTGCCCAGATTCCCTTTTGTTTTCAGGTTTAGGTTCTCTTGTTACTCTTGGGTCGACTGCAGTTAAGGGGGTATTTTGAGGGGGGCTGGGTGAGCTCCATGTTGCGCCTGGCGTTTTAAAACTCGGAGCCTAGGGCCTGCAGGGCTCCATCGATTTGTGATTAGGATCTATAGGATTTTAGGGTGTATAAGTTTAGGGTCTATTTAGAGTCGAGAGATTCTTATACTTTCAGGAATTAGGGGTATGTAGGAGCTTAATGGCCCATTTTGGACGGAGGGCCGTTCTGGCAGCGGGGTGTTTCGATATTCGTGGGAAGCATTGCAGCAGTCTCCATCCACACAGAATCCGAA